TCTCTCTCTCTCTCTCTCTCTCTCTCTCTCTCTCTCTCTCTCTCTCTTCTCTCTCTCTCTCTCTCTCTCTCTCTCTCTCTCTCTCTCTCTCTCTCTTTGCCGACATCCGCACATAAATAAATCCTCTCTCTTCCCTCTGTTATTCCGGTTCTTCCCTTAACGATTTATTATCTCGTCTTTTCTCTCTGAATCATCAATTCCCCGTCCCTTGCTTCCCCCTTAACTGTTTTCCCTTCCTTCTTCCTCCCTTGTTATTGCAGTTTAGTCGCCTGTTTCACAGTACTTTCATGTTTATTGTGTTTCCCCTAGAAAGATCACTTGGGCTTGACTTCGCTATGTTAGGTCAGATTAGGTCTTGAGCTAGGTTAGGTCATTGGCGTGACTAGGTTGGATTAATCTGCTTCTCTAGGGTGTGGTTAATTAGGGTAGGTTAGATCTCTAGAACTTACTTCATTACACACAGAAATCACAATAGCGTGATGCATCAAATGATCCAAGTAAGTTCAGTAGAACTTCTGGTTGTAATTCTTTTAACCATGTCGTAGCTCAGTCGATTAAGGCAGCGTCTGGGATGCTCTGGGACGTAGGTTCGAATCCTCGTCACGGTCCTTATGGATTTGTTCTTAGGTCTTTAGGCTTGGATGGGTTAGGTTAAATCGTTTTGATATGGTTATTTTTATATTTGAGTATGCCCGTGCTTCTTTATAAAGCTCCCAGGGCTCCCCACCCACACACACGCGCGTGTGTGTGTGCATGGTACAATAAGTAAATACACATACACATGCCGTTGAAACCGGTTACAGCAGCTGCATGGCTCCAGGCTTTAATCCCAATATAACATCACCGTGATTAATTATTGTGCTTTGATTAATGCAGCTGGGCTGTATTATAAAAGCGGAGAGCTTCCTGCTTATGTGAGTGCCCCATCGCAAAGTAGAAATGAGAGAGAGAGAGAGGATCAACAAACCATCGCGACAGTAATGAGGTTTCGGGAACGTTGCGGTTAATATTGTGACTGGTAAACACAATGTTTGCTACGCTGTTTACCTGCTTGTTTGTTTCATGTTGAATGGATCTTTGGTTCTGGTAGACTACCTGCTACCGGCATTATGGACCTGGTATCCTATCCACATATAGTTCTGGTAGGCTACCTACATCCTTTGTTATGATCCTGGTAGGCTACAGGTAGCCTCTGGTATGATCCTGCTAGGCTACATGTAGATATGTCGACAAATTTCTTGCTCGAATTAAAGTAGCAAATGAAACATATAATTTACTCATGAAACATATAATTTGCTCATTGAGTTTAGTTAATAGGGAGGCTTTCGGCAGCGATTCTGTATATATATATATTTCACTGAATTGTAATACAATTCAGAATTCCAAGAACATTGTCACGATTCCACAATCTGCATAATGTTAACTTCAATGACATGGGAACGCAATTACATACCATATGCATAATTGTATTTTCAGTAGCCTAAAATGAGATTATTTTTCGATTACCAAGTGAACATTAACTTATATTTCAACACCAGGGCCTGTAACTTTGTTGTGAATTTGTAATGTGTTTCAGTGATGAAGAATGGAGAGAAGTTCCACGTTGATAATAGATTTTGTTAAGTTTAAGGGGTTTACACAGGTGTAAAGGACTGCTGACTCCTGTTAGCAGGCTGAGAGCTTTCCCTTCCCATTGCTGATGGTAAGCCTTACTTTCTAGTTTCCCTCGGAATACGACCCGCCAATCGTTTAACAACCAGGTACCCAATCACTGCTGGGAGAACAGAGACGTACAGCTAAGGATTTGCGCCTAGTCAATCCCCCTTCTCCCCCCCTCTCAGGCCAGGATACGAACCTAGGCCAAATCGCTTGCGAAACGCGGAGCGAGTGTACCAATGTGCCATGGGCACACCATCTCTCTCTGTTAAACACATTCCTCATTACTCAAACGCGGTAAAACTATTTCAAAAAAAGAGTTGACATAATAGCGGGCAGTTGACTGACAGCTCATTTATATGCACCGTTTCTCTCCAGTTGTCTGACGAGGGGGGAAAGGTCGGTGGCTCTTTGGGGAGGGTTTGGTTGTTTCTGGAGAGGGTTGGTTGTCTCCCTCTGGGGGAGGGTTGGTTATAGAGTCTAATATGTCGATGTTTGCAGATGATGCAAAACTAATGAGGACGGTTGAAACAGATGAGATTGTAAGATTCTCCAAGATGACTTGAACAGGTTGCAGAGCTGGTCCGAGAAATGGATGCTAGAGTTCAACACCAGCAAGTGTATGGTGATGGAAATGGGATCAAGAGCCAGGAGACCGAAAGGCCAATACACGATGAAGGGAAACTACCTCTATATAAGGACTAGACAAAAAGACCTGTGAGTGGACATTAACACCAAACCTAACTCCAGAGGCTCATATAAATAGAATAACGTCAGCCCCATAGTCTACGCTCACAAAAGTCGGAACATCCTTCAGAAACCTGTATAAGGAAGCTTTTAGATCACTGTATACCGCCTATGTGAGGCCAGTCATAGAGTACGCCGCCCTCCCATCAATAAAACACACAAGGAAGCTAGAAAGGGTGCAAAAGATTGCAACGAGGTTTGTCTCATAGCTGCAAGGGATGAGGTACGAAGACAGACCGAAGGAACTAAACCTGACGACATTAGAAAGGGGAGAGAGGGAAGGGGGGACATGATACAGACGTATAAAATGCTTAGAGGGATTGACAGGGTGGAAACAGAGGAAATGGAATGACTTAAAGGAGCAGGTTCTAGAGGCAAACTACATTCATAACTTTGAAAGCAAGTATGATAGGGAAATAGGTCAGGAGTCAATGCATTAGATAACCAACGGCTAGAAAAACGGGGTCCAAGAGCTTGAGCTCGATACCGCAGGCACAAATAAGTGAGTATACACACGCACACACACTCGCTCTCTTTCTCTCTTCATTTACGATTAATTAAGAGCAATAATTGCAACAGATATACAAGAAGCAGCAGCCATTAATGACACGCTAATTACCGCTCACCCAATATACGGTTCTAATTACTGGTTTGTGCCGCTCGGGCAAGTGGTGATCCCAGTGAAAGAACGCCACTTTGGAAGGACAGTTACACAAAGTAACTGAAATGGTGAACATAATTCTCTCTCTCTCTTCATAATCTATTCTTCTCTCTCTCTCTCTCTCTCTCTCTCTCTCTCTCTCTCTCTCTCTCTCTCTCTCTCTCTCTCTCTCTCTCTCTCTCTCTCTCTCTCTCTCTCTCTCTATCTCTCTCTCTCTCTCTCTCTCTCTCTCTCTCTCTCTCTCTCTCTCTCTCTCTCTCTCTCTCTCTCTCTCTCTCTCTCTCTCTCTCTCTCTCTCTCTCTCTCGCTCTCTCTCTCTCTCTCTCTCTCTCTCTCTCTCTCTCTCTCTCTCTCTCTCTCTCTCTCTCTCTATCTCTCTCTCTCTCTCTCTCTCTCTCTCTCTCTCTCTCTCTCTCTCTCTCTCTCTCTCTCTCTCTCTTACGGAAATACAATAAACAAGCTTTTTTCAACTAAACAATTTTTTTAAGCACAAAATGCTGAACAATTTTTGGGTGCAAGATTAGATTTTGTACAACCATCCATAGCAGTTATGAGTAGCCATTCCGTATGTGTACTATCCATAGTAACTATAGATACTCTGGGTTTGGGATGCCTGTTTGTATTATGATGTAGTGGCAACTCCCTAGAGTTACATTCTTCGACACAACTTGTATTTTAAATGGAATACCAACTGCATTGTGAATCACATCAACACTGGGAGACACATCAACACTGAGAGACACATCAACACTGGGAGACACATCAACACTGGGAGACACATCAACACTGAGAGACACATCAACACTGGGAGACACATCAACACTGGGAGACACATCAACACTGGGAGACACATCAACACTGAGAGACACATCAACACTGGGAGACACATCAACACTGGGAGACACATCAACACTGGGAGACACATCAACACTGGGAGACACATCAACACTGGGAGACACATCAACACTGGGAGACACATCAACACTGGGAGACACATCAACACTGGGAGACACATCAACACTGGGAGACACATCAACACTGGGAATCACATCAACACTGGGAGACACATCAACACTGGGAGACACATCAACACTGGGAGACACATCAACACTGGGAGACACATCAACACTGGGAGACACATCAACACTGGGAGACACATCAACACTGGGAGACACATCAACACTGGGAGACACATCAACACTGGGAGACACATCAACACTGGGAGACACATCAACACTGGGAGACACATCAACACTGGGAGACACATCAACACTGGGAGACACATCAACACTGGGAGACACATCAACACTGGGAATCACATCAACACTGGGAGACACATCAAACACTGGGAGACACATCAACACTGGGAGACACATCAACACTGGGAGACACATCAACACTGGGAGACACATCAACACTGGGAATCACATCAACACTGGGAGACACATAAACACTGGGAGACACATCAACACTGGGAGACACATCAACACTGGGAGACACATCAACACTGGGAGACACATCAACACTGGGAGACACATCAACACTGGGAGACACATCAACACTGGGAGACTAAAACTAGAACTAAACTAACTAAAACTGTGATTGTATATGTGTGAAGGTGAGAAGACTTCAATTGGGATTTTAAAAAAATATCAAGCTGCGTATATTATATCACGCTTGATATTACTGCAGCTTGATACAAGGTTTTTTTGCAGCTTAATGACTATATACATTTTCTATCAGTAAAAGTATTCATATATTTATAATAAAGAATGAAATTTTGAAAAATGCATCTTCCTGATTTCTGAATATTTTCTTCAGTGCTTGAGGTAATGAAGTATACAATATATCTAAGCATAATATAGACATAATAGAGTGTATGTTTACTGAACATTTAAAACGTTAAATCAATGGTTGCCATAACTGCTATTATCACCACCAAATAGAACAGAAAACAAAAAATATATATACTATGGTAAATAATTAATAACCGTATAAACACCAAGAAGAACAGAAACGAAAAATATATCATATATGATTAATTAATAACTCTGTATAAATACTATACCAAAAACATTTTATAAATAAATAACTTAGCATAACCAATTCATAGGGGATATGCTCTCAATAGATGTACGTATGTGACTAACCTGGTCACATAACCTGCATGTGACAAACCTAGTTCAAAGTGCAAACAGGCAAATGAAAGATAACATTGTTTGCCAAAGTCTGTGGACAAGTTTTAGCAGGTAGGCCGGCAGGCAGAGAGAGACAATGGACTGACAAATAGTTAGACATTTTTTTGCGGATGGTAAACTATTAATAAAATCACATGTACACAATTCAATGTGTGACATTCTTTTACACACACACCCACACCCACACATACATACATACATACATACATACATACATACATACATACATACATACATACTTAACACATTATCATAATATAGGTACTGCTGTATCATATAATTTCCTTTCCAGATGGTTTGACTTCAGGTGCTGTTTGGGGGGAATTTGCTGATTTCTAGATAATCCCATCCCTTCATTCCGTAATACTTCAACGTGTGAATGCATGTAATAAAACTAACATTAGTGGAAGTATGGTTATGATATACATTAGGTTGATGAGCATGCAGAGTAGAATGATTATGAAGAATCCAAGCAGAAAGAGCTGGTGTAGTTCATGCAGGATGGATGTAAGATGTTCTTGTAGGTTGAGGTTCTGATGTTTGTAAGCGTCACACTTCACAATGCTCTCCAACTGAGCTTCATCAAATTTCAGTGTGACATTGACGAAACAGAATTTTACATCACGTTTTGGACAGTCAATCTTGGGGCAAATTCCCGCTTCCTTTATCACAGATTTGCATGCTGTTACACTTCCTAAGGAATGGAATATGAGTTAAATGTAAGCAGAATAAACACAAGAGTTGTTGGCTTACTACACATTAAATGCTTAATTGATAAATTTGTAGGCACTGCCATAATTGTGAAGAGATTACTGTACAAATGTTGTGTAAATAAAAATTAGACAAGAATAACTAATTAGTTATTGTCTCAAATTAGTATTCAGTTAAGCATAAACTAATAGGAAATTAAATATAATTCGCACAGTAGAAAAAACACATTTATTAGAAATAGTATCACACTCTAAAGCTTATCATCCCATGCACTCTTGTATACTAAAGTTCACACGGCATGGAATTACAAATTCTGTATTACTCTTAAAACTATTTTTTCAACTTGATAGAACAACTTGATAGACAAGTATATACATTGGACTCGAAGAGCAAGATTTAAACATAATACATAAATTATACACCCAATACTCCAGAAATTATTATTATTATTATTATTTTCTACCACAGACGTGGCCACACATATTCAATGCTAACCAGCATATATACATTTTCTTCTGTTCTCCATGGACAGGGTGAGAGATTTGTCAAACATATAGTTCAGGGATTTATTGAACAATCAACCACAGAAGGTATTTGTAGTGCTTTTAAAATGCTAGGCTAAGCTACATACGTAAATACATAGATACACAGGAAATGTAAGTACTGTACTTATAGTAACTATTTGGTGGGAAGTGCCAGTATGAAATAATGGACCACAAATAAGTTGGTTTTTGTATTTTTTAATTCGGCCAAAGAGAAAACGTTTTTTACCGCGACATAAATATAGAACCTAACAATATTGATCATTCCTACTTACCTATCACCTCGTTTAAAAGCACCAAGATAACCACAATCCACAGGACAACTGCCTTTGACATCATCTTGAATAAATCCATTCACGTCCAACTGATGGAATAACAATTTGTGCTTAAAAATTGATATTAATAAGAAGTATAGCTCACGGTATAAAAGGTATATTAACATGGCTCATGATAATGGTATAGTGTGTGTTCACAATATAAATAACAGAGACCTAATTTTACATCCTAGTTTTCAGGAACACTAGGATATCGTAGTTTTAATGAGATCTATGGATCATCCAATAAAATCAGCAGACTTCTAGATGTTACTACTGCTCGGCTTAGACTCGGTTACAAGTATCTCTGGGAATTCTCATTATCTGCTGATGTAGACCTGACCAAATGTAAACTGTGTCAACAAAATTATTCGCACACCCTCCGTCACTATGTGAAGGAGTGCGAAAAGATACGTGAATTTAGAGACAATTCTATAACCAATGTTCCAGCGATGTGTCAATATTTCATTCAAAATTATCTGCTACCAGAAATTTTAGCCAAATATCCCCAGTTTGCTAACTGTAGGTAGTAACTGAGTGATTGTAACCTATCCACCGCTGCCCACTGGATGGGGGGCGGTGTGCAGGACAAACATATAAATTTTGACACTAGCTCTCCACATATGTCAGTTGCTTAATTTAGAACCTGTACTTGAGGTCGATCTCGAACCCATTGTTGATGTGATGACTTATATTGAATTTTGTAACTAGCTCATCAAGATTGTAACTTGCTTAGCTAAATGAATTGTGGGGTTCAGTCCCTGAGCCCATTATGTGCCTCTGTAACCCTTTCCACTACCGCCCACAAGATGGGTATGGGGTGCATAATAAATGAACTAAACTAACTAATGAGATTAGGTTGTAAAGTTACTACTCGTTCAAGTTTACAAGTTTGGAGTTTTGTTTATAATATAAAATACATATTTACATAGATAAAACTTAGAATTTCCATACAACTAAATTGTTAAAATATATTCGCACTGCAAATTTGGCTTAATTTTTAATTTTTAATTTAATCAAATTAATAATTTGGCGTAAAGCAAGGAACAAGCACATTATATGCTCACACTACCTGCTCATGTAAATCATTCCTACTGTAATCATAGACCACTGTACTGTAGTGCTGTATGGGTACAGGCAATGGGACTGTGTGTTATTTGCCTTCAGAACTGTATTGGAGTCAGACCCGTGTCGCTCTGTGCTGTTTAAATTCAGACCCGTGTAGCTCTATATGCTGTTTGGATTCAGACCTGTGTGGCTCTGTGTTGTTGGGCTTCACAATCATCAAACATATGACATACTCCGCCATGTTGGACCACTGCCTGAAATCGGCCTGATAAAAGGCCGCAAAGTTCTCCCAACTCGTGACAGTATGGCTTGCTAGCATGGCGTAACGTGAACCACTCTAACCTGACGTTAACTTGCGAGAGAGAGAGAGAGAGAAACATGGTGGCCCTGTGCCACACACCACGATCTTCCTCGCGTTGATGATAATCCAGAGATTCAATAGGCACTCTGAGCCCATATGGTTGAGGCTCCGACCCGTTGAAACAAGGTAGTACTTGGAGAGAAGGAGAAGATTGTGTGTGAGTGTGCTCACCAGCAGGTGCCAGGCAAGGTCGTCTTAGGTCGTCTCTTGCCCTGTGATGGCCTTCTCCGGCAGCCTCCTAACTGGTTCTCTATCACAATTTTACCTTATACAGTTATTATCGATTTGATTTAGAAATTAACATATAGTCGTTGAAAGTAATAATAATAATTTAAAGTTATTCTTCTTTAAGGTCTGGTTATATCAATAATAATGATAATACAGTATATTAGAAAATAGACACTGATGTGTTTTATTTATATTTGTTATTTTCAGTGTATAAAATCAATCTAATTATTGTTAATGTAAGCAAGTAGAAATTTTCTACTCTAATTGTAGTAAATTTTGAAATAGCCCCATTTAGACAAGGTTGGGGGGAGGGTAGAAATAGCCTAAGCTACTCTATCCCTTTGAGATGTATTTTATTGTCTCAATAAACGTACTTGAACTTTGAACACAAGGGTTAATGATGCTAATGTTATCCCGATTTTCAGGAATCAAACTTTTGTAGTTTTTTGAGCGTACCATTCTTATCATGTGAGCATCATTGTTTATAGTGCACAATATTTATTCTGCGAGTGGTAGTTATTGTTCACTCAAGCTTATTCTGTGAGCGGTAGTTGTTTTGCTTATCATACTCATCCTATGAGTGGTATTACAAAAAGGACTTAATCATGCGAGAAACTAACAACAACAGCAACATGGGTATTAGTAACCACCTTTCATCCACTAGGATCATCAGATCCTCTAACTAGGGCTGCAAAAGTGCGAGTCCATCGTCCTACCGACTGTACTGTGAGCACTCACAATAGGGAAGGATCTCAGATCCTCCACAATGAGGAAGGGTTCGACTTCCTTATTGTGAGTGTTCAGAGGGTAGAGGGAAGGGTTCGCACTTTTGGTACCCCTGATTGAGGCTCTGATGATCCTTGTGCTGTAAATTAAAGTCTTATCAGACCTCTGTGTTTGACATTAAAAGTTACGATTGCCATAAATACATTTTCATACAATTTTGATATTAGTGAGGATAACATAAATTATTATATTGTTTTCACTATAATTGCTATGTTTAGTAATGTTCCATTAGCGACAGGGTCCCAGTGCAACCCGTCCTCAGACTAAGTCCATTCCATCCAGCGGTCGACCCCAAAGACGCATTCATCAATGTTAACATACTATTCATTCAACACGGATATTTTCTCAAATATAAATTAATATTATTATATATTAGCATATTGTACATATTTAGACACTGGTTAGGTTAGGTGTTTAGGTTCTGTTGGCGATTATTTGTATTTGAAGTACGTGGGTGAAGCATTTACAACGTTGTGATTTGAACAAAATTCGTCAGTGAACAACCCGTCCTCGACTCAAGTTCATTACATTCAGCGGTCAACCCCACAGACGCATTCATAAATTTTAACATGCTGTTCATTCAAAACGGGAATTTTCTCAAGTATAAATTAATATGATAATATATTAGCATAGTGTGTATATATAGGCATAGGATAGTTTAGGTTCTGTTGGCGATTATTTGTATTTGTAGTACGTGGGTGAAGTATTTATAGCGTTGTGATTCGAACAAAATTCGCCAGTGAAGCACTTGTTCCGGATATGTTCGAACGTCAGCAGTAGTGAGTCGTGTGTAAACCGTTTTTCATTTATAAACAGGGGGTTTGGCGGGTGCATGGAATCACTTTTGGATCTTTGTTTGGAGGACGGGCTGCAGTGAACCAGCCCGTCCTCCAAACAAAGACCCAAAAGTGATTCCTTCCACCCACCAAACCCCCCTGTTTATGAATGAAAAACGGTTTACACACGACTCACAACTGCTGTCGTTCGAACACTTCCGGAATAAGTGCTTCACTGACGAATTTTGTTCAAACCACAACGCTATAAATGTTTCACCCACGTACTACAAATACAAATAATCGCTAACAGAACCGAAACCCCTAACCTAACCTAACCTATGCCTATATATGCAGAATATGCTAGTATATTATAGAACAGAATCTAAACATCTAACCTAACCTAACCTATGCCTATACATGCACAATATGCTAGTATATTATAATATTAGTTTATCTTTGAGAAAATTCCTGTTTTAAATGAACATCATGTAAACATTTATGAATGCGTCTGTGGGGTCGACTGCTGGATGTAATGGACTTGAGTGGAGGACGGGTTGGTGTAAACCGTTTTTCATTCATAAACAGGGGGTGTGGCAGGTGCATGGAATCACTTTTGGGTCTTCGTTTGGAGAACGGGCTGGGATATGACGAGCGAATCTGGATTCAGGAACTCTGTGATCCGGATCCCAATGACAAACGCAGGGGGGAGTTCCAGCTGGCGCCGCGGACGTCAACAAGAAGTCACAGCCGAAGGTGAAATTGAAATTGAAATAAGTTTATTGATGTAAAATACACACAAAGGGATGAGGTAGCTCAAGCTATTCTCACCCCGTTCAGTACATCGTGTTAATACATATATAGACACACATCACAAGCAATAAACATATTACCAAACATTCTGAGAGATAAACATATACATTTCCTCCTTAACACAAGTAGTATGTTATCAGATGTACACACAAATACTTTTATGACCTAAGCCGAAGGTTGTAGTTAATAATAATTGAATAGTTTTGTCGGGGACATGCAGTCTGTGGATATATGTACACGTTAGGCTGGTAATGAGGTTTCAGCTCAGGTCGAACTACTGACCCTCCCCAGGATGCAACTTCAAAACAGTTGCTTGACTCTCGGGTACCTATTTACTGTTCAGTGAATAGAGGCTTTAGGTGAAAGGAAACGTGCCCAACCATTTCTGTCCCACCCAGGAATTGAAGCCTGTTATAATATATATGTATATGTATATATATATATATATATATATATATATATATATATATATATATATATATATATATATATATATATATATATATATATATAGAGATGTATCCTGCTTCTTTGGGAATATACACAGGAGTATTTATAGTCCATACTTGCTGCTTGTTCAGTAAGTACTAGTGTCCTTTATCCTGCCGTGGTTGGTAGGCCTAACACCAAGCCAGTTAGGTATATTGATATTCCTTTAATCAATGGTATGACTGTTGGCTCTGTCATCCATCCAATTTCTGATTAAATGCTTGGACTGATTGACTGAATTCCATTCACTAATCAGAATTAGAATTTTAAGGTCCCACACTACTAGCTAATTTATTGATGTTGAGCAAACCACACATTAGAAAGTGAAGGGACGACGACGTTTCGGTCCTTCCTGGACCATTCTCAAGTCGATTGAAAATTTATTGATTCTTATTAACTCCACAACTTATTGAACCATTGCTTTTTCCCTTTTTTAAGTTAGCCTTCAATACAGTTTTTATATTTAAAACAATCAAGATTTGTATTTTTAACTTTGGCAGACATCTCGATCTGCAGTCAGTTAAAACAACTGGGGACATCAACATAGCAGTGCAATCTTTTCTACAAACAACTCTTAGCCTTTATAACACCCACTGTCCTAGGCTTACAAAACAAGTCACAAGCAAAAGGCTTAACAATCCTTGGCTTACAAAGGGAATACTGAAATCCATTAACAAAAAACACGACCTTGAGAAGAAGTATAGGTTAGGAATTGTCTCCAAAGAATTCTCAAAGAATTACTCATTATTGCTAACTAAGATAATTAGACGAGCCAAAACTAATTACTACGAAGATAAATTTACTCAAATAAAGAGCAACATTAAACAAACTTGGAGCACAATTTCACAAATATTGGGATCAAAGAAATCTTTAAATAACAAACCGACTCTCCTGTCTAATAACGATGGTCAGCTTTCAGCCTCTGATTCTGCTATTGAGTTCAATAGGTTCTTCTCTTCCATTGGTTCATCCCTTGCAAATGATATTCCATCTTCCAGTACTGACATTAAGGACTATCTTACAGGTAACTATCCACAGTCTCTGTACCTAAAGCCTATTAACTCCACTGACGTCAATGAGATAATCCTTTCCCTTAAAACCAAGTCTGGTGCCCTTGAGGAGATACCAACTTTAATTTACAAAAAAGCCTCCAGATCTTTAGCCCCTGCTATTGCTTTGCTCTTCAACAAGTCACTTGAACTCCAAACCTTTCCAGATATTCTAAAAAAAGCGAGAGTAACGCCTGTCCACAAATGTGGTGACCCCACAGATGTTAACAACTACAGACCTATATCAATCCTGCCAAACTTGTCAAAAATTTTTGAAAAACTTATATACAAGCAGCTTTACTCATATCTAGCCAAACTCAATATACTTAGCCCTTGCCAATATGGCTTCAGACCCAAAAAAAGCACTAACGATGCACTTATTAGTATGCTTAACTTGATTCATACAGCTCTTGATAAAAAGGAGCTCCCTGTTGGGTTATTTGTGGACCTGCGTAAAGCTTTTGATACTGTCAACCACCAAAACCTTCTTCTTAAACTACATCATTATGGAGTCAGAGGACACTCCCTACAATACCTCGAGTCCTACCTTACTGACAGGCTCCAATATGTTTCTGTGAATAATACAATTTCTCCCACCCTACCCATCAACATTGGTGTTCCTCAGGGCAGCATACTTGGCCCTCTCCTCTTTCTCATCTACATTAATGACCTTCCAAATGCCTCCCAACACCTCAAACCAATTCTATTTGCTGACGACACAACCTTCATTTACTCCAGTCCTGACCCTCTTGCTCTAAATGCCACAGTAAATACTGAGCTAAATAAAGTCCATCTTTGGCTAACTGCCAACAAACTCACCCTTAACATTGACAAAACCTTCTATATTCTGTTTGGCAATAAATCCTCTAGTCTTATAAATCTCAAAATAAACAATACCCAAATTTGTAACAAATTAGATGGCAAATTCCTTGGCATTCTCATTGACCACAAGCTGAATTTCCAGGGACACATTCTAAATATATCAAAAAAAGTTTCAAAAACTGTGGGCATTCTTTCTAAGATCAGATATTATGTACCACGCCCTGCTCTGGTGACTCTCTATTACTCCCTTATCTATCCTTATCTCAACTATGGTATTTGTGCTTGGGGTTCTACTACCCAAAATCACTTACGTCCTCTAATTACCCAGCACAAAGCCGCTATTAGAACAATATCCAACTCTGGCCCCAGACATCACTCGGTACCCCTACTCAAATCTCTTAATATGTTAGATATTAAGTCACTGCACATTCTCTCATGTGTATTATACATATTTAAAACGCTAACCTATAATGCCAATCCTGATCTTAAAAGCTTCATAGAAGGTTGTAACAGAACCCATGAGCACCACACCAGAAATAAATACAGTTTTGATATTCCTAGAGTACGTCTTAATCAAACTAGAAATGCTCTGCAAATCAAGGGGCCCAGAATGTGGAATGACCTTCCCAACCATGTTAAAGACTGTACCTCTCTCAACCAGTTTAAGATAAAAACTAAACACTACCTAATAAATTCCCTGTAATCTACCTCACTCCTCTATTGTCAACCCATGTCTGTTATTTTCTTTTTTTTTTTTCTTTTTTTTTAATCAACACTGTTTGTCAACCTATTGTATTTGTGCTGCTTTTTCAGTCATGTTCCCCCTTTTTTTTTATCTTTATTTGTATTTGTTCTCAACATCTTTTATTCTTTATGCTCAATTAGTATTAAGTTCTAGATATTAATGTTTTTTCTTGCCCGAAACGCATTGCGTAATAGTGGCTTTAGGCATTGTATGTACTAGCTCTATCTATATATCAATCCTTTAATGTAACATCACTTGTATGTATATACCTTACCTGAATAAACATCTGAATCTGAATCTGAACTACCCAGTACTTATTTCATTGACTTAATAGTTTTATTTCATAGACATAATAGTGATGTTAATTGTTGCAGATAATGGTGGAGGTGCGAGCTCAGGTGTTAGGTGGGCCTGTGCACTTGGCTGGTGATACTGTGCAGGTCTGTATCACTGTCACACTCCCCTCATTAGATCCTGCTCTTCGTGCTCAGTCCAGGTATATTATTCTTATTATATTGAATTTAGGTCATGGTCAGATAAATAATCAGAATTATCCTTGAAGACATTGCTTTTATATAGAATTAATTGTTAGAATAATCATTTGCTGCCAAAATTCATATATGCCATAAATAGTAGTTATATCCATTATATTTTCTGCTCCTATGCTACTGAGTGGCTCAAAATAAAATTCTTTACACAGGATTACCTTGTACCTGTATATCTTCAGAGCATTTTACAGACATCCTTTTACACACTATTGGTATTCCTGGACTATAGTGCCAATTATTCCTGAGTCTTTCTGCTTACCTAATCCCATTGTGGTACATATATTCAGTCATGCTGTTCCTGTTCTTCTTTTTAAGATGCGTATACCCCTCTCAGTATTCTATACTTAGCCATGTTTATGTGGAGTTACACGAATACCTAAATTCTGCCTTTCATCAGTCTTTTCTTTTTCACTTTTATAATTAAAGTTTGCTAAGTAATATAAAAAATAGGTGATCAGTTATAGCACAGCACTATAAAGCAATAGGAAGACATCTATATTTGGCTTGAGTTTGATAACAAAAAAACTGTGACCTAACTGATGACATTTTCACATTAAAGTTCCTTAACAGCTGCCCTTATCATTGTATAATATACACATACTTATACATTATCAGCTTTTAATTCTTTTTCCCAATGAAGTATTTTCCATAACCCCATTTTCATTATGCCTCTATTATACATACATAATGACACTGCTGACTTAAAGCATCCTGTCCATTATTCAGTTTTGTGAAAAGCTTGCCATCCAAATCAGTACAGTATTTTAAAAGTTCTTGAAAGTAATTTTATGTTTTATCCTCATAGTGATGTATGTGAAGTTCTTGCATGGGGCAGTGCACAGATTCACTGTCAGTGCTCCGTAAATGAATATCGTGTGCGTTTACCTACCTCCAACCCCAAACCAGCAGAGGAGAAAGCTGTTGCTAATGCTGGTACAGGATGTAACTACTTTACTGTTGATTTTATCATGGAAGTTTTGCATATTTAATGTAGGATGAATTTCAGAGTTTCTTGGAAATTTTAATGAAAATTGTAAAAGACATGATTATTGTTCAGGGTACTGTACTGTATAATGTAGTTAATTTACCAATATAAAGTTTTTGAACTGTACAATATTTGAAATAAATAATAAATATTTCATAATTGCTTGGTCCAATAGTCCTTCAGATCCATTTATTCATATGTCCTTTGTATTTTACCAGATACATCATTTGCCCCGTGCCGCGGTGAGCGTGGCCACGTTGTTCTTTCAACTAAACCAAAGATCCTTTTTTGTGACCTCCAGTTGTTACCTGGTGAAAGTCGCTCATGTAAGGACAGCTTAGTTTTGCAGTTTAATATGACTTATATGCCAGTGCTGGGTTAAATGTTTAATATTTTTTGTAGATCACACTAGTGATCTAGTTTATTTTTTGTTAAATAAACCTTGCAAGTTTATTTTTAAGAACTTGTAGATTAATTTTAATTAATATTTATCTTTTGTCTAGTGATGCCTCACCTTATTTTGGTGCTCTACCGAAGGAGATGGTCACATCGTACCAGAGGTTTGCCTGAAGGAATGGTTGTGCTGACACTCACGTACACTTGCAAGACAATGATGTGATATGAATGTGAGAAATCAATTGTTAGGACAATTCTCTGAAGAAAGTGTATGGTGTTAATTAAGATATGAAAATGTTTCGGAGAGATGTAAAGTACAGTATAAGTCAATAATCTCCAATTTGAGGAGAGCATTCCAACATGAGTTGGCCCTGTAGAACAAATGGATGAGGGTAAATTGGTGAAAAGAGTGTATTAAATAAATTTGAGGCTTAGAGGAGATGAAGGCCATAAACAATGTGGATGGATATGGCATTGTGTGTGTGTGTGTGTGTGTGTGTGTGTGTGTGTGTGTGTGTGTGTGTGTGTGTGTGTGTGTGTGTGTGTGTGTGTGTGTGTGTGTGTGAGAGTGTGTGAGTGTGTGAGTGTGTGAGTGTTAGTGAGGAAACAGGAAGGGTGTATAATCAGTGCACAGAATATGTAACAACACACTGCAGGGTGGAAGTGGTATTCAAGTTCAAGTATGTTTATTGAGATAAGCAAGAAATACATCTCAAAGGGATAGAGTAGCTTAGGCTATTTCTACCCCCCTTACTGGATGGAAGTGGTATGTAAGAAAGAGTGAGAATGTATTTATTCTGTATATGTAATGTTCATGATAATTCATGAGTGTTGTACACTTGGTTGTACGGTGGTCGAGTGCGGTTGTGAATGCCTGATGGATGTGCGGGTCCTTGTTTAATCAATAACAAATCAGTTTAATCAATTTAATCTTTTTTTTCTCATTACTGATGCCTCTTCACACTATGAAATTTTAAAATGGGAGTAATGTTATAACAACATTATTATAATGGTAGTGTTATGTATTATGTTTTTTACACATTTTGATCGGCTGCAATCAAAGCGTGTAATTTCATTTAAAGTTAGGAAATTGTAAGGATTTTTATATCACTAAGAAATATTTTATTTTATATTTGAATAGTTGTATACAAAGAAACACTTCCTTGCGATGCGCCTCCAACATATCGTGGTCAGTTGTTAAAGTACGCTTACAAGATAACCATTGGCACTCAGAGGCTTGGGGCACCTACTAAACTACTGCGTGTTCCCATCAGAGTCATTGTATTGCGAGGTATGACTTGCTAAATTTATTTCTGTTTTTGTGTTTATGGATTTTTCTTTCTGGGATTATAATCCTGTAAAGTGTTATTGATAATTTACAAGGTAAATGGAACAAAGTGCTGTGGTTACTCTGTTGTAAAAGTTAAAATGGCATATTAAATTTAGCTGCTATTAATTTTTTGTGATTCAGTAAATTTGTAGATAATGTATTACCTAATCTATTTACCAGGCCGTAGAGACTGCCTGTACATATATAGTAAGCAAATTAATGATTGCACTCATTTTTCTTTTTTTAATTAAATTTTGAGGCTTTGATTTTACTATTATAGGACTGAGTGAAGCTTGTGTTTATAGTGAAAGTGGAGAGCTAGCACCATCGAATCCATTCTTGCATACCCCTCATCGAGACACACCAAGACACACTGCCCTACAGATTATACAGGTCAGAACTGATTTGTTAGCAATTGTAGATTTAATATTTATATCATACTGAGTTTGTTGATGTCTGGTCTCATAAGCTTGTGCTTGCATCTGTTAAAAGAAGTGCGAATGTAATGGTTAGGTGAGTCAAGCTCGTGTGTTCAACCTGCTACATTACATTACATTCGGCACAGTTTAGAATAATGAACAACACTGAAAATTATTGGAGCAGGATGTGGTTTGAACCAGCATCATGGGTCTTCCCCAGACATGTTACATCTCGCACGATTGTGATTTCCTAGTGTGTAAACAACATTTTTGGGGATTGGGTATTTTGTTTGAATGTTTACTATTTTTAGTATATATCCTTGGAGTCTTTTTACCAACTGCATTTTCTTTTCATAAATGAGGACTTTTGACATCTCTTAGAATGTACTGTAATCTTATTTTCTTATACATTTAAAGTTAAATTTGCATTTTTGCAAGGATTTTTCAGAATTATAATGTAAAGGATAAATGTAGAGCTGTGATTTTGATTTTGTTTTATGACTAAACAAAAGAATCATCATTTGGGTAAAAGAACACAATGTTTTGAGTCATTTTTGTGCTCAAAAACATCTGTATCACTTCTGCCAGGAAGCATCATTATGTGAAGACCTGTCACATCGGTCACATCATCGGTCAATGTTTCCTCTCCGAATATCGGAGAGGAAGCATTGCAGATAATTTGTAGTTAGTCCTTTGTGCTATAATTACTAAAAGTCTACAAAAACTAATATTTCCTAAAATATTGTAACTATTGTTGCGTGTTCCTTGTGCAGAGTGTTTCAACTCGCAAGAACCTGAGCCAATATAACATAACCAACACTCGAGGGAAAGTGGTGCGGTTCTGTATTTACAAGACCAGTTTCAGACTTGGAGAGGATATTGTCGCTACTTTTGATTTCAGCACTGCAGAAGTTACATGTGTACAGGTGAGAGTTCTTATCATAATCATACTGCTATTAATATCTTTATATAAACAAAAGGTCACCTAATGAGAAACACTTAACAAATTACGATCCATACATGGGAAGATTTGATATTAAGACAGGAGGTTAGATGTTTGGCATCAAGTTGTGTATTTACGAAATAAAATTGAACGTTTGTTGAGGAAAGACTAGAAAGTAAGACTGATGTTAGATCAAATGTAATGGAAGCTTCACAAGACAGCTGCTCATGTGATGGAATTATTACAGTTTGAAAGGGAGCTTACTTGTGTATATGTGGTATATCAGAGGTCTTGTTCATTTCTGGAATCCCCAAGTGGGTCTCGTATAGGTGTGGAGCATGGTATTACATCCATAAAATATGTTTAGAAAGGAGGGAATGAAGAGATACATCTGCACAAGTGATACAAATAGTTTATAATCCTTATGTTGTATATACAGTACTGGATATTAGATTTGATTTAAGAGTGACCTTACCATTCCCTGCACACTTTGCTCTTGCCTGAATATCCCCAACAGCCATCATCTATCTCTAGTAACTTTGTCAGGTACTGAACAGTGCACCGCTAAAGAAAACCAAGTTTTTTGAGACAGTTTTATAATAATAATTGAAAGCTCTTTTGGTAAACAAATTTGTAGTAAAACTTAGTGAGGAAATATTAATGCAATGTTGAGGTTCAGAACCAAATACTGGGGAACTGTGAAAGACTTTATCAAGAGTGCTCATTATACAGATTTGAGCTTTTTGTTTATAATTAACAAATTGCTGTATATGAAATGGAGTACTGCACTGTATAGCCAATGACATGCATAGTTATTTTGCATATGTTTGCATGTGTACATTCTTGCTTAATACTACTGTACTTAAGAGTACTGTAAGGAGGAATATATCTTGTCCACTTCTTCTCTTTAGGATGTCTGGTGCAACTCAACAGAGTTCCTCATAATTTTATCATACCTGTTTTAAAAGAACAGTAGTATATTATTTTTGCCATGGCTATGTACTCAAAGTCCATTCCATGCATCCACTGACTGAACAAGGACTTTCTTACATTTTTATGCCACGTCTACTTTTTCAGTTTCCACTTGTGACCTCTCATTTTGTTGCTCGTTACTTGAACCAATTTGTTCTTGTCCACCTTGTCTGTTCCTCTTAGCATCTTATTCTTAAGACTTATATCTCATTTGGTTTTTCTTTCTTTAGGTGTACATAGCTTCAGTTCTCCTAATCTGTACTCATAGCTCAGGTTTGTAATTTTCACTATATCTTGTAGCATATGTGTAGACCTATTCAATTTTCTTTCTTCTGAAACCTTTACATGCAAAATAAAATTTTTGGTCAAGTCTGCTACTCTCGGTTTGGTGTATCTTTGCATTTTTGTGTTTTTGTAAGGTGTGGGTTTCATGGTGATCCAGCCAGGAGGGTGCAACCTCCACTAAGTAACTGGACCACTAGCTCATGTGTAGTCCAGAACTTTAAAGGCACACTACTGTGCATATATATAAATAGGGAAAAATTACCACCTCAAATATGAATCATTTTCTTAAATTTGTTTCCATTTCAGTACTCTGTAACGTTGCAAAGTGAGGAAATTATTGCCGAATCCTGCCGTCAACGGCCATCTCAGAAACCAATGCTTGTTTCATACAGCAAGGCACATGAAGTTTGTCTCAATTTATCACATACCCATCTTTTGCTACCAATTCCCCTTCATGTTACACCAACATTTAATACAGAGTTAGGTAAGTTTTCATATAAATTCAGTATATCCTACTTCCTCATTTTTCCTCAACTCTACTCTTATCATAAGTATAGTGCAAAGTCGATTAGGCGAACTATACGGGACCAATCCCAGTTTATTGGAGTGAAGGATTTGTTGCAACTGGAGATGCCTTCAAGAAGAATTTGTAAAATGTATTTTATTTATACAGCATGTGAGTTTTTAGGCAAGAAATTTACATTGCTTCACCTGTTTCTTTCTTTTCCATTGTGGCCATCTATGAATATCATTAAAAATGTAATTGAAGCTATATTAAGTGAGTTATCTTTCATTCCCTAGTGTTTCCCGTGCTCAATGGGCTAATTTCACAGTGAATTTTAAATTTAAATCTATCATGTGATGGACAACCACATGGAGAACCTGCGAGTGAAGAGATTTCACCACATCTAACATACTTCCCACGCTCCAGCCTTGAGATCTCATTTTTAAAGGAAAAAGGGTTCATATTTTAGTGAATGTTCTCACGCTCTATGGGCTACTGTAATTTCGGTATCATTTGATGGACAACTTTCCCACAGGTCTGTGAACTATGGCCATGCTTCCTAAGCAAATCTATACATCTCCTTCACCAAATCTTCAAACACTTATTTGGCAAAGCAGGCAATGTAATGTCATTATCAGGAGAAAGTGCTAAGTCAGTATGACTATGTAGCACCTGGAGGATATTTGAGGACAAGGAGCTGGGATATAAGGAAGTGGTGGGTAAATCCAGCCTGTAGAGTGTGCGTTGCAACCAGAGATTTGCACAAATGATGTTTATTGAATCGAGGTTCCACTGTACAGTACTAGTACAGGCTGTACAGTATTTAGAAAATAATTGATAGTGGCTTTCCAAGAATATGAAAATTAATTGCCAAAAAACATTTACTGGCACAACCCATTGTATACAGAGCTTGATTTAAGACTCAAAGATTTCTTTAGTGAATGAACAGTAAAATAAAATTCTGGTCGTTGTAGTAGTTAGGATAACCTATCAGTACTATATTAAATTTATAACTGTTGGTTGGTTCCATAATCTATGTTCACTTAATTTAAGAAAATGGTACAAAGGGGGAAAAAACTATATATAATTTCAATTTTAAATACTGTACATTATCATTACATCATTTCCTGATTAAAAACTGTAGAATTTTAGCTAATGATAAATATTTTTACTAGCAAAGTGAACTTGAAAGTTTGGGTTACACTGATTTACTAACCTGTAATTATCTTTAAAATTACTGTACAGTACAGTACTTAGTATTTCAGTATGTAAAAAAAAATTATTTCTCTATCTCATATATACTTGTATGTCCACCAGTAAGTCTACAGTGGCAGCTACATTTTGAATTTGTGACAAGTACAAGTGAGGTCAAAGGCCCGTCTCTTCCTCCCAATAAAAATGAAGAAATAGAGTGGCGAGCGCCAAGCACTATTGATATCGAGACCATGGTCTGGGACCTGCCAATCACAATCCTACCAACAACCCCAAGTCAGGTTGCTCAGGCAGTGTGCATGCCGGCTCAACACACACTTCTGCTGTGAATCGTGATGTATTATCAAGCATGAGGGTTTGTGGTGAGTGTTTTATAGCCTTCAAATCATTGAGAATCATAAATAAATTTTATAAATCCTATTTGTTGCATTAGGTGGAGGGAATTCTTTGAAAGTCTGATTGGTGGGAGTGATGAAAGAGGTGCTAATATAAACGTAGTTTACTTTGCTGGTATGAGAAGAGTGCACGATAGATTACCACCTGATATAGTTATAGAAAAGGTGAGTGAAAGAGTTGTAACATGGGAATGTGTCAGGTGTTAAGGAGTGTGTGTGGAAAATTTGCCAGGAGACATGAGATTGTAGATTGTATCTGAGGATTTAGAAGAAACTATGATTTAACCATGTTATAGAAATAAAGGAAATTATAGTTATTGTTAGGCGTATTGAGTCATTAATTTATTATGTGCAGTGGGCAATGTGAGGCTGGATAGTGATTGATCACTGATGAAGAAGGCAAGTTCATGGTATACGAAATAGACATTTATATAGGTACATTTTGTGGAGAAGGTGCATGAGAAAACTTGTAGGATGTACAGTCTGTATAAACATTGAGAAGCATGTGATAAAGATAGTAGAGAAGGGCTCTGGATAGCGATGAGCAACATTTAATGTTGGGCGAGTTCTGTTAAGTTTGTTGTATGCAGGAATTAATGCATGTGTAAGAGTTAATGTTGCAATGAGTGACTGGTTTAATATTAACATAGGTGTGTGTCAAGGTTGTGTGATGTTACAATGAAGGGTCAAGGTACATATTTGGGTGGGATCATGAGAGGAGGGTCAAGGTAAAAAAAATTGTTTTGGACATGATGATAGCTGGGTGAAGTGTGTGTCTGAGTAAATTTGAGAATAGGATGAAGAGGGGGAAATTTGGGAAGAAAGTGGATATACTGTATTATATTAACTTGCTAATCCAGACTATATAGGAAGGACCCCCAGCCGGATTAGCACGTTTTCTGGATTAACATACTTTTCTGTACTGTACTGTACATGGCATGATGAAACAGGAACTGTATGTAAACACAAGGAATATGGTGAAGAAACTGGAAAGGAGTGGTTTATGAAATGCAGGGCGTTGCTAGTATTCCCCTAATTGTGCTTGTGGGGGTTGAACTTCGGCTCTCAACTGCCAGTCAACTGATGTACAGATCCCTGAACCTATTGTACTCTATCATACCCACATTTGAAACTGAATGGAGTCAGCCTCTGCCCCATTGCTGCCTAGTGGCTAGTGTGTCAGTGCTTGTGAGGCTGTATGCTATGATGTCTTAAATAAAAGAATTTAAATTGTACATTCAAAGTAACTATTAGTATAACTTTTATTAACAATACTGTATTTAATTTTTTTCTAGGCTGATGCTTCCCGGTACACAAAAGCGGGAAATGCGGTACTGGTGATGATGGGTGGTTCTGTGGTCACCGAGTTGTCACCTCATCACATAAGATAAATGTAAAGAGGACAACTTGTGGAAATGCAGTTGCAGTGCTGGATGTGAGCCAGATCCTACCCTGGGGTAATTTTTGGGTGCAAAATTTGTGTCAAATTAAAATTGTGCTTCCATTACTCATTTATCTGGGAACCCCCATAATGAAAATTAGTGAAGAAAAATATTGGTAGCTTTGCAAATATGTAAGAGTTCATAGGAGGACCATTTAGGCTAAGAAAGGCTGTTATTTAAGTGGGTGATGCTGGTGAATAGTGCAGACCTAAGCATTTTTTTTATGAGATAGTTATCAGTTTTCTTTTTTCAGTAACCAGTTAGGTGCAAGGAAAATATTAATGTATGAATGGCAGTATGCATATGTGGAGTTTTATAGTATTTCCACAACAGACTGAAAAAGTTATTAAAAAATAGAGCATTCAAATTGGGAATGATTGTATTGAGAAAAGGTAGAGTTAAAAGAATGAGGATATTGTAGTTATTAAATTATGCAGGTTCAATTATAATAATTTGTTTTGTCAGAGACAGGAAGACTATATTTATATATTTTCAAGTTGTATCGAGGCGGTCCCCCCCTTTCCCCCCTCCTAAGGTTGAACTGCAGCACTGACCATTTCTAGGATGCCTAACTCCAAGCAAACCTATTTACTACTAGGTGAAAGACGTGCCCAACCATTTCTGTCCTGCCTGGGAATCAAACCCAGGATCTCCAATTGTGGGGTAAAGAATGAAGCCAATTGTACTACAAGACCTTTTGAAATTGAGGTATCCTGAGCCACAGGAAGTGGCAGCAACACTAGGCTCATAAATCACAGGTTACGATGAAAAGATAGTATTTTTTGTACTTTCATTGAGCATGTGAAATAGTACGTGTACTTCATAATTTATTAAAAAAAACTTTTTTCTTAATTTGTTTTTATAAATGCTAAAATTGTACATGCACATTTGTTGTGTGTGTGTGCCTGTTTTTGTCCCAGCTACAAAAAATTCAAACTTTTTATGTCAAAATGCAATAAATTGTTCTGGAAGTAAAGTTAAACATTCTGGGGGAAATTACCTAAAAGGAGAGAGAAACAACATAATTAAGTATATTTATATAAAATTACATAAAATTATTGTCTGGTATTCCTAGTAATTTTGTTAAATATTTATAATGTCAACGTCTGGATTACTTGCATCCAATACATGCACTAATTTAGAGTTTTGTACTCGGATACTTTTGATATCGTTCGCCTTATGCGTTTTTGTTCTCGTATTGGCATCCTTGGTGATATTTAGCGCCCTCTGATTATTCTGCACATTTGATGGTGCTACATAGCCTTCCCGGTTTGGTGCTTTCTTTTGATAATTACTTACTTAGAGTTTTGTAACTTGTGTTCACCTAACAACCTCTCTAGTTTATATCAGGATCCAGTAGGATGGTAATGGTCTGTTCCTGTAAGTACAAAGGTTTCATGGATTTTATCATGCTTATTGGCTAAGCAAAATACATTCAGTGCTCTAATCATCATGAGGTGATTGCACTGACACCCCAAAGCATGCACTATACATAAGGTAACATCATACATACATTTACCAAGAATATGATCAAGGTATATGGCAGACTTGACTCTTCCTTCTGCAGACTTGTATATTTGTTACTTCATCTACTTGAATGATAAAGTTCTGTTTTGTGGAATTTGGACCCTCATCAATAAAATTATGGGTTATTCAGATTGAACAGCAATTTCCTTCATGAGAACTTATGTTACACAAGTTACTTTTTGTTAACGTTGGAAATTGGAGCAATTGGATGTGTTTGACGTCATAAGGGTGAGCATCACAGGTGTGGAGGGATGCATCTGAAAATATCCATTTCTAATTTGATTTTTGGGGGGGATTGGCCTCCAGCGTAATAGTAAATACAGGAACATTGTGCATTCCTGTATAAGTATGGTGTTTTGTCAGTTGTGTGTGACTGAGATGTGTTTTGCAATTGGTTAATTATTTATAAACTTCATACATTTATAAATAATATATTTATATACATATTAACATCGAATAAATTATATTGTTCTATTCATGCATTTCTTTAACAGAATTTATGGTAAACCGTGCAGAAATTATTAATTAATTTCTGCACGGTCTTTCACAATAGTAAATTGTGAAAGACTATATAAAAGCTGGTTTCTAAATATTCATTAAAGTGCCACCTGGTGAAATATGCCAACAACTATGGGGCCTCGCTATACCCCGTGCTACTCGGAACCTTTTGTTCAGAGTAGCTGAATCTCGAACAGCAGCAGCAGCCAAGGGTGAATGCAGTGTTGTTCATAATCCTGGCATGTGGAATTATCCCAGTTACCTAAAAGTTTACAAATCCTGCAACATTCTACTAGACATCTGGCATTCAAAACAGGAGCTGAACCTGGTACGTGCTGTCATGTCGGCAACAAAAGCAAATGTCACCCCAGAAGTACAGTAGATAAAGAAATGCAAAGAATACTACCTGGAAGAATCTAGCCTCATCAGCACAGCAAATGACAAGAGGTAAAACCGAAAGCAGAAAACTAGGCAAAACCTAGACCAGTACACATGAACCTACCAAACATCAAAGGCTGAGGAAGGGGCTAACACAACTGTGCCTGGCACACCCCATCCCTGACACAGGTAAAAGGTGAGTACATATCCTGACTACACGTAAAAACCAAGTTCAGTGTTATGCTGTGATTCCTCTGCCAAGTGCACCAGAGCTAGGAAAAATCTAGACCCATGACAGTGAAGACAAACGGTACTCTGCCAGGTAAGATATAACAGAACACCATCCTGGTAAACAATTTTGAATGAATGAGGTTGTAGCTAAACTCACTCACTCACACACACACACACACACATGACACTGGATCAACACAATGTGAAGTAAACACTAAGCACAAGGCCCTGTAAAAAGCATGAGATTTAAATAATATCCAAACTGAAATTAACTGAAAATTAGGCTTTGCAGAGCTGGCATACCAAATGGGATGGATGCCAGACTTTAAAGTGAGGGATGCAGGTCCTTGCGACCCTGTTGTCCAGAAGGGTGTTATCTATTGCCATCGAATAGGCTGGGGACGCAAGAAATAAGCTACATGTGGTTGCAGGTATATTCATATGGTAGATTGTCTATTATATGATGCAGTGAAATGAAAATTTTGCTAGGTGAAATTAGCCTATAGGGCATAGAAAATGCATCCTAGAGGCATCTCTGGTTGCAATGGATCCCTCACTGCAATGAATTGGGTTTGGTACCATACAATTTGTTAAATCAAGGTTGTACTGCATGTGGTTTTGGAGATAAGCGAGTAAGCACTTACATACAGCCTGCCTCTGATTGGTAGAAATTTGTAAAGAAAAAGCTGAAATAGCAGTGTATGCTCAACATATCATAAGTTAGATATCTACAAAGTATAAAAAAAATAGTATGAATGAGCAGTGATTGAGTGGTTGCTACCAAATGGTAGAACATACCAGGATGTTTATCTTAAATGCTTAAGGTCGTGAGATGATTACCGACCTTTGCAGTGTAGAGACGTTTTTATATGAAAAGTAGATGTAAGTTTCACCACTGAAGAGAACTTTGCTGGGTGACAAGTGCAGCCAAGGGATTTAATTGCAGTTTTGTAGCCAATCTTATGTACTCAAAGTCTCTCCCTTATTCTCTGGTACAGTAATTACTCAACTTCTATTAATACACACCACGTAAATTTTCCCGTGCATTAATTTTAATTTTCAGTTCATTTAGGCATTCGCTTTTACTTTTTAATTTTAGCAAATTACCTTATTTATTTAGAATGCCAGATTCACATCTGATTATCTCGATACCTTTCTTCACTTAATGATGTGCCTCAGTGGCTGATGTACACATCACATTGACACTTTAAGCACCATTTGGTCAGGTCAGGAACTGAATCAGTGACTGGACAACCCCCTTTCATGGTCAGGTCAATCCTAATAAGCTTAACTTTCTTCCTGTCCCCTACAATGGTCAATCACTGATTTCATTGTGCATGGATATAGTATACTGTATAGGATTGCAGGCTTAAAGCAGTAAGTACCTACAGAAGTACAGTATATACATACCAAGAAGATTAGTCTCACATCAGGCTGGCAAAGTGGAAAAACTGGCAGCAAATACAGTACAGACAGAGACGATTGTAAACAAATGCAAACTTCATCAAATCTGATCATATTCTACCACAACAAAAACAGCTGGGCCAACCTTATGCTTTCTTCAAACTGAGGTAACTCTTAGGAAAATATTCAACTTTATATTAAGAGGCAGACCTACCTAGTTTCAATAAAACAAGAAGGCATGTAATTGTTTATTACATTTGTAGGGGGTTAAAAGGATAACAAGAAAAGCCTTAACAATATCGTTCTAACCATTATATACAGTACATACACCAACTGGTTTCATCCCTCCTATGCAGGGCCTCCTCTCTGAAATGAGCAAGACTGATGAGCTGAGTGAAATAACATTTTATAACTAGGGAATAATGAATTGTAATTAGACATTCTATATCTTATTAAAAATAATAAAACACAATTATAAGCAAATAAACAAAGCTTTGGGCTCCAAAGTACTGACTACAATGTGTTTATCTCAATTATGTTGTCTGCTATAATATGTGAATTTTGTTTAAATTAGACAACAGGACAAAATGGTAGATAACAATGCCTCTATCTAGCTCAAAACGTTCTTGCTCAAAAGTTGTCAACTTCATGTTTATCAAGGTGTCCTGAACTGATAAATATTAGTTATAAATTTAATATCATACATGAAATACTTTAATATTTAATATTGCATATACTGTACAGTGGGGCCTCGAATTACGATGCTAATCCGTTCCCAGAGACGGATTGTAAGTCGAAGCAATTTTTCCCATAAGAAATAAAGGGAATTGAATTAATCCGTTCCCTACCCTCCAAAATATTAACATACAAATACATTTTATACTGAATACGATGTTTTTTTCCAACTACAATACAGTACCTAAGTTTATCTTACCTTTATGGAGGGCTCATGATGGCATATGGAAGATGGTGATGAGGGGAGAGGAGGAGAGTTGTTACTGTTTGGAAGGGAAGTCCCCTTCCATTATCACATCAGGCAGTGATGTTTTCTCTGGGGTACTCTCTCCTACATTTTGCCTAAATACCACTAGGACCTGGTTGTGGTTCAGTGCCTGTTTATCTCACTACAAATTTGTCAAGAGACATTTGTTTTTCAAATCGTTTTAACATTTGTCTGTAATGATACAACACAGTGTCATTGAATAGGTTAAGGCAACGGCCTACTGCAGCTTGATTTGGGCGAGTCGTTTCAGCAAAGGTTTGCAATTCTTCCCATGCTGCACACATTTTCTTAATTGTTGAGGAAGAGACATTCTGTACTGGCACATCCTCCCCCTGAAGAAATTTCATCAGCTGCCTCTTCTTGCTGCTCCTTTTGAAGGGCTTGGAGTTCTTCGGTGGTCAGTTCTTCGTTGTGTTCTTCCTCCAACTCCAAACCCAATTGCTGACCCAGAGAAACAATTTTCGCAACAAGAGGCACTTCATATTCAGGCTCAAACCCTTCAAAGTCTCGTTCTGCAACACATTCAGGCCACAGTTTTCTCCAGCCAGAGATCATGGTTCTTACAGTCAGTTTTTGCCAGGCTTTGTCAACAAGTTTTAAAACACTATAAATGTTAAAATGGTTTTTCCAAAACTCTTTGAGGGTGAGGTTTGTGGCATCCGTCACTTCGACATCTCCGGAAAAGTGCCCTTTCATAAAGTTTCTTAAAATTGGCAATGATTTTCTGGTCCATAGGCTGAAATTGAGGAGTGGTGTTGGGAGGAAGGAACTTTATTGTAACAAAACTAAATTCCTCCATCAATGAATCCTCCAAGCCTGGAGGATGGGCAGGAGCATTATCGAGGGCCTTGAGTGGCAAACTGTTCTCTTGCAAATATTTTTTGATAGCAGGGCACACCACCTCATTCACCCACTCCATAAAAAAACTGCCTAGTCACCCATGCCTTAGCATTAGCCTTCCACATCACACACATTTTGTGTTTCTGCACATTATTTTGAGACATTTTGAGACCCCCTTTGGGAGTTCCAACCCACCAGTTGGAACTCCCAAGGGCCAAGATTCAACAAGCATTTACGCAACCACTTACGAGTCTGTACATCTTTTCTCGATTTTTGGCAGCTTCATTTACATACATTAAACAGTTTATGGGCTCCTAAGCACTAGGAGCTTGTTTACAGCAATAACATTTGATTGGGAACTTTCGATACTTGTAAACTGCTTAATATGTAAACAAAGCCACCAAAGATTGAGAAAAGATGTACAGGCTCATACATAGATGCATAAATACTTGTTGAATCCTGGCTCGGTGTCTTATAGTTTCCTATAGTCAGGGACAAATGGCCTGTTAGGCTTATCGAAGTCCCCCTAGTGCCATGTTCTGTTATCGAGTGCCATTTTCAAGTGTACCGTATCAAAAGATGCACAGTACTTTTGTAAAGGTGTAGTTGACAATGGCAGAGAAAAAACTACAGTACCGTAACTGCAAATACAGTAATCAAAAAGCCAAAACATAACCTACATTTATATACTCTATTTCTTCTTCAGTAATTCTCTCTCTACGATATCTTGGTGGCACCTGCCACTCTTCTAGTACAGGTGGAGGTGGTGTAGGTGAAGCAGAAGATCCTGTGATGACGGGGCCTGCAGCAGCTATAGGTTGAGGTGCACCACGAACTGAAAATGTTAATGTTCATAAGCTTTTTGTTTCCATCAAGTGCACTAATTAGTGCTGGAATGAATTACAGACTTTGTATGTGTTCAAGGAAATGTGCTTTACATACAACATTCAGAAGAGGGGAATCATACATACAATACATTCTGTTTTTATCACCCATTTACATACATTAATCCATAGATACATATTTCATGGTACACTGCCTCATATATACTTTACATTCCTTCAATTTTACATCTGATTAACTCAATAATTTACTTATCTTTACTTATCTAAATTTTTGTATTTAACAACAAAAATGCCACTTTAGCATTCTAAACTACATTCACCAATTTGGTTGAAAAGAGCACAGTATAGAAAAACCACCTAGTTGAGAGTTTGAAGATTGGTGTCACCTGAACTACTTTATCAAACATAACCAAGATACATAATCCGCACTTACTAGAGGGTCCTCTACCCTGATCATAGCCAGTTTACGCTCATTAAGGTTTTGAAGGGTGTATAGTAGTGACACCACCTGTTCTATAGCTTTAGTTTTCTGCTTGAAGATAAATTCAGTGTGTGTAATTCCAGACCCATGCTTTAAGATAATTGTTTTTTTGCTGGTGGAACTCCACTGAGTTTGATAACTAAATGATTTACATTTTTTGATAATGTTTAATAATGAGGAAGATCTTAGGTATTATGATTGATATTTTTTTTTCTATGGGGCTACATTCAATATCAATAGCAAGCAAACATTTTGATCTAGACTTTGTTTGACCCTTTGCACTGCACATACCATCGTGTGATGTTCAATCTATGGTGCACATTACATCATATGATGTTTTAGGTACTTGCAATATTTGAAACTCCCACTGGTACAGTGTTCCCAATTGTTATATGAGGCCTCCAGTAAATATCTGCTATCGTGAAAGGTGACAATTTTTGGGACAATGTTCCAATGCTCCGAGCATGATTTTTAACAATACTGTACCTGTATATGAAAACAAAAACCTTGTTTTAAATTTTTTGCTGTGAGCATACAGGTAATAATAATAATTCAATGTGACGGGGGACAGGAAGCCAGAGTGTATTCATACATGTTAGGCTTTTATCGAAGTTCCCCACCCCCAGGTCAAATTACCGACTCCGCCCAGGATGCAACACCACAACAAGCTGACTAACTCCTGAGTACCTACTTACTACTAGGTGAACAGAGGCATTAGGATAATGTAACACTTATGCAATTCAAGGGTTTGATAAGGTACTAAAAATATTAAACAGAAATCTTTAAAAATAAAATACATGACAAAATAAAAACAATATATTAATCAGGTATAATAATACTGCACATACTTCACTGTAATATGGTTATACTATATAATAATAAAACTGCACTTATATGGTTCACTGTCATTAAAACATAGCACTGTAACCCTGGTGACTGACTGACTAATTTCTGCCACACTTACTGAATGCAATAAAATTTATTAATCAATAAATCGATGTAACTCTGCTTACCAAGTTCTGTTAATCCTCCTTTCCGAAACTTGATCAATGGGATGTGAGGCCTCACAGCCTGTGGGTTATAAGTATCAATTAATAGTTAAATACCTAGCACAATTAAAAAAAAATCTTATTTATTACTGTATGCTCATTCATCCACATAAGTTAGGTAACCAAAGAGTTGTTGAAACACAAGGCATGTTTTGTAATAAAATATTTAGTAAAATCTTTCAACAGCACAGTATTAATATTTCATAACTTCTTACATTCAGTATATGTACCACAAAGAAATCACAATGGCACGATATATCCTGTATCAATGAAGATCATTTTAAGACAATGGAGTGACTCTAACTTGTATTCTGGTGAATTCCAGACACCTTCCCTAACCGACTCAGCCACGATGGTACAAAAGACAAACCAACCTGGAACTCTACTGAACTCACTGGGAGGTTCTGGAGGCCCCAAATTGGAACCCAACCAAGATTTTAGTCAACCCAACCACACACTTGCCCACGGTAATGATGTTCACACTCTTACACCACACTCGGATCACAAAGAAATCACAATGGTGTGACATATCAATGAAAATCACTTTGAGGCAATGGAGCGACTTGAAAGTTAGGGCAGGTGTCTGGGATTCAACAGCATGCAGGTTCATGAAACTCCATTACTGCTAGATGAACAGAGGTGAACAGAGGCACCAGGTAAAAGAAAATGAGCCCATCCATTTCTGTCCCATTTGGGATATAAACCTGGGATTTCCAGTTGCGAGTCGAGAACATCCCAATGTCACTCAGTGTCCTTCCAGTCCCTGACTGTTGGAAACCATAGATTTAGGCTTATGTATGTTGCATTTTAGCACTTTGAAATGATGCCAGTTAACATTTTTAATTTATACTACACTATATCAAAACAATGTAGCCTGTAGCCTGGGCCTGTATCTTATATAGTCAGTTCTTCAATTACAGAGTTAAGATTCATTGTTTTGGCAATTCTAGAAATAATCCCAAGATAATGCAGTGTAGCTTTCCAATACAATCCACTCTGTGCCTAACAGGGTGCAGTCAAATCGTGCACTGGCATTTTGACAAAGCTCATTTTCTAGTTGTCTAAACCATATATGTCATTAGGCTAGATTGTTTTTGCTTAGGTTGGGTTACACTGGATTGAGTTGAATTCAGTTCGGTTAGATAGGTCTTATAATCCATTAGTGAACAGTGTATTTTCTGTATGATGTGACTTGTACCTGTGGGGTAGGGTCGTTTCAGACACGAGATGATTCGATGAAGCTCATTTTCTGCTTGTTACAAATGTGTATATAATGTTATGCTAGGCTGTATTATCTTAGCTTAGGATGTAGTGGACTAAGATGAGTTAGGTTAGGGTGGGGTGGTTGGAGCTAGGTTACGTTGGGTTGGGTTGAGCAAGGTTAGGCTGGGTTGGGTTGGGCTATCTTCTTGAGGTTATCTTGAGATTAACCTTGATCTTGAACAAGAAAAAAATAAGTATAATAGATGATTTCGGGTCTTAGTGTCCCCGGTCGGCTCAACCCGGCCCGGTCCTCAACCAGGCCTTTTTGTTACACATCCCTAGGAAGCAGCTCAAAGCAACTGTCTAACTTCCAGGTACCTATTTACTGCTAGGTGAGCAGGGGCACTAGGGTGAAAGGAACTCTTCCCATTTGTCTCTACCTCCACCAGGGATCAAACCCAGACCCTCAGGACTACGAATCCCGAACGCTGTTCAATCAACTGTCAGGCCCTGGGCTGGGTTAGGTTAGGTTGGGTTGGACTGAGCTAGGTTGGGTTGGTTTCAAAATCCATTTGGGAATGGTCTTGTGTGGGATGTGACTTGTATCTGTACCTATGCCCAACAACCTCGTGAGTTGAGAGCACTAAAGAGCTGTAGTTTCAACGGAATATTAATCACCATCAACCAGGTAAATAATCATGGAAAAGCCCCCAAGAATATCACCATTTTAGCAAACATTTCAATAACCTGCTATCAAGCTTGAGTCTAATAGTGAGGCGACGAAGTGAAACCCAATCCGCAGAGGACCTCAGAGTAGCCAGAGCTTTCATCAGTTGTGTATATATATCAAAGCAATACACGTAGCACTAAGCAATGTGTCATGCAGGACTCTAACCATTACCTTGTGGATAGTCCCAGCGAGGGCAGTCATGAACACAGTGACCTGCATCTTGGAAGCTGCTGCTCCTCGGGTCCACACTACAGCGTTACCAGGTCCAAATTGCTGAGAGTAGCGGGCTGACGGTCTGAAAGTAGCGAATTTATAATAAGACACACCCAATTGTCTGTTTACTGATACGGTATTGAATTTTGTAACTAGCTCATCAAGATTGTAACTTGTTTAGCTGAATGAATTGTGGGGTTCAGTCCCTGAGCCCATTATGTGCCTCTGTAACCCTTTCCACTACCGCCCACAAGTTGGGTATGGGGTGCATAATAAATTAACTAAACTAACTAATTGATACGGGTTTCAAAGTAATATATTTTGATATATAGAGTACACTACACGATGTTAATTGTTTTATTAATATTATTTCTGCACATACACAATATATATTTATATTTATATATATTTATATTTATATTTTACAAATAGGATAAGTTACCAATATTTACTGTACGAAGCATGTGGAGGGTGTATTGAAATTGAAATTGAAATTGAAATTGAAATAAGTTTATTGAGGTAAAATACACACAAAGGGATGAGGTAGCTCAAGCTATTCTCACCCCATTCAGTACAACGTGTTAATACATACATAGACACACATCACAAATAAACATATTACCAAACATCCTGAGAGATAAACATATACATTTCCTCCTTCATAAGTAGTATGTTATCAGACGTACACACAAATACTTTTATGACCTAGGTATACTGTATAGACAATATGCAAGACACCTGCAGATAATTCAACAAAATATTACAATCTTGGTGCAAAATTCTTATATCTCTCAAGAATATCATCAACCTTTCCGTTGTGACACATCCAGGCTATTTGTTCAGGAACAGTCCTTATCTCATGGAGGGTGTAGGGTCCTTCCACGTCTTCACAGTTGTAGATTATCAAGAAGATCTTCGATCAAAACTGCAAATATAAAACACATATATTAGTTTAAGATGACAACTAAGTACTACCTAATTAACTCCATGTAACCTACCTTACCCTTAAATAATTACCCCTTACCGCATGTTATTTATTTATTTATATATATATATATACAAGAAGGTACATTGGGATTGTGAGGATACGTACATAGCATAGTAATTACATTCTTGTAAAACCACTAGTACGCACAACGTTTCGGGCAGGACCTTAATCTAAGAAAATTATAAGTAGGTAAATACTTGCAAAATTGATAAAAATGCCCGAAACGCTTTGCGTAATAGTGGCTTTAGGCATTGTATGTACTAGCTATACCTATAAGTTAAACAATCCTTGTAAATATTTATTGTATGTATGTACCTTACCTAAATAAAATTGTATTGTATTGTATTGTATTGATAACAGTTACATAGCATGAAAAAAAATAAAAGGAGAGAAAAATTGTAGGTATATTAAAGCCCATAGGTAGCTCAGAATGATTGCAATGACAGCTTGAATGGTAGTTTAACAAAACTTAGCAGGCACAATACAGCATATGGCTAGCACTATTACTATTAGCACTACTACATGTCTACTATTAACAAATGGTCTTAGTATTTGTCTATTAGTGTTATTAGTCTATTAATTAGTATTTGTCTATTAGTATTATTAGTCTATTAATTAGTATTTGTCTATTAGTATTAGTTTGTAGTATTTGTCTATACAAATGCTGTTTGTTGACCAAATTTTATTTTTGCTGTTTTTTTGCCATGTTCCTCCCTTTTTCTCCTTTTATTTTTTTTCTTTCAATGCAATTTATACTCTAAGCTCAATTAATTAAGTTCTAGTCTAAGTGGTTTTTTCCCACCTCACCATGCCCGAAACGCTATGCATACTAGTGGCTTTAAGTATTGTATGTACTATCTCTATCTAGAAGTCCAACATTCTGCTTGTAACTTTTTGAATGTATTTACTTTTACCTGAATAAACATTATTATTATTATTACTGTATATAGATATTACATGTGGGTTGGGGTGGGGTGTATATAGATATTACATGTGCTTAGCGCACTGCTTATATTGTTGTACTTATTATTATTATCTATCAACGAGGGCTTTGTCTTATTACAGAACGAATAGACTCAAGATGGTGCAAACAATACAACGGTCTAGTAGCATGTTTGCAACTAGACCGTAGTTGCACACTTTACAGATTTTTTGCCGCCAGAGGTGGATAGTTCATTAAGCATCCCTTATTCAACCAGCGAGTGGAAGTTTATTGTCCACCCAGAAGCCCGACCAGTTGTGTAACCGCAAGCCTAGAATGATCGAACCGAACAAACACCATCCAGAGCACAAACATACACGAACCGAAGCCCGACTATGCACAACCCGAACCCCAAGTGACACCCACGGAGCCTGCCTGACCAGTTGTGTAACCAGAGCCCGATCAGTTATGCAATCGAAACCCCACCAGTTGTGTAACCGAACTCCAACCAGTTGTGTAACAGCAAGCCTAGCAAGCAATCATCTCATCCAATCCACACCAAGCCAAATAACCAGCCCCAGAGCCCAACCAAACTCCCTTCCTAGCTCTACCAAACAAATCCTTCCTTAGCCCTACCTAACAACCCCCCCCCCTGTCTTGCCTTAACAATTAACTTTGGAGCCAACGTAAACAAACAATTGAGCCCTATACAAAAAAAGAAACCTGGAACTCTTGCAAAAATACAACAATGAAGCCCTAGGAAATAAACATGGGCTTAGTCATAGTAAAGAAACAACCATGATTATCTAGCAAAGACACATGAGGCACTAGCACACAACCCCTGGAGCACAACTATGCATGAACCGAAGCCTGATCATGCACAACCCGAGGCCCAAGTGACACCCCCGGAGCCCGACCAGTTAAGTAACCGGAGCCCGCCAGTTAATTAAGTAACCGGAGCCCGACCAGTTATTAACCGGAGCCCGACCAGTTGTGTAACAAGAGCCCGACCAGTTGTGTAACCGGACCTCGACCAGTTGTGTAACCGCAAGCCTATCATGAACTGACCAAACAAACAACCTCTGGATCACAACCAAGTACGAACCGAAGCCCGACCATGCACAACCCGAAGCCCAAGTGATGACACCCCCAGAGCCCGACCAGTTGTGTAACCGGACCCCAACTAGTTGTGTTACTGCAAGCCTAGCAAGCAAACATCTCATCCAACACACACAAAGCCAAACAAACAGCCCCAAAGCCCAACCAAACTCACTCCCTAGCTCTACCAAACAAACACTTCCTTAGCCCTACCTAACAACCCCCTCCCCCCCTGTCTTGCCTTAACAACTAACTTTGGAGCCAAAGTAAACATTTGAGCCCTATACAAAAAAAAGAGACCTGGAACTCCTGCAAAAAATGCAACAATGAAGCCTTAGGAAATAAACATGCACTTAATCATAGTAAAGAAACAACCATGATTATCTAGCAAAGACACATGAGGCACTAGCACACAACCCCTGGAGCACAACTATGCACAAACCGAAGCCTGATCATGCACAACCCGAGGCCCAAGTGACACCCCCGGAGCCCGACCAGTTAAGTAACCGGAGCCCGCCAGTTAATTAAGTAACCGGAGCCCGACCAGTTATTAACCGGAGCCCGACCAGTTGTGTTACCAGAACCCGACCAGTTGTGTAACCGGACCTCGACCAGTTGTGTAACCGCAAGCCTAGCATGAACCAAACAAACATTAAACAAACAACATCTGAAGCACAACTATGCACGAACCGAAGCCCAACCATGCACAACCTGAAGCCAGAGTGACACCCCCGGAACCCGACCAGTTATGTAACCGGAGCCCGACTAGTTGTGTAACCAGAACCCGACCAGTGTGTAACCGAAACCCCACCAGTTGTGAAACCGGAACCCGACCAGTTGTGAAACCACAAGCCTAGCATGAATGAACCAAAGAAACAATTCAAAACAAACATTAAAGAAACAACATCTGAAGCACAACTATGCACGAACCGAAGCACAACCTGAAGCCAGAGTGACACCCCCGGAACCCGACCAGTTATGTAACCGGACCCCAACCAGTTGGGTTACTGCAAGCCTAGCAAGCAAACATCTCATCCAACCCACACAAAGCCAAACAAACAGCCTCAAAGCCCAACCAAACTCACTCCCTAGCTCTACCAAACAAACGCTTCCTTAGCCCTACCTAACCCGACCCCCCTGTCTTGCCTTAACAATTAACTTTGGAGCCAAAGTAAACAATTGAGCCCTGTACAGAAAAAGAAAAATGGAACTCCTGCAAAAATACAACAATGAAGCCCTAGGAAATAAACATGCACTTAGTCATAGTAAAGAAACAACCATGATTATCTAGCAAAGACACATGAGGCACTAGCACACAACCCCTGGAGCACAACTATGCACAAACCGAAGCCTGATCATGCACAACCCGAGGCCCAAGTGACACCCCCGGAGCCCGACCAGTTAAGTAACCGGAGCCCGCCAGTTAATTAAGTAACCGGAGCCCGACCAGTTATTAACCGGAGCCCGACCAGTTGTGTAACAAGAGCCCGACCAGTTGTGTAACAAGAGCCCGACCAGTTGTGTAACCGGACCTCGACCAGTTGTGTAACCGCAAGCCTATCATGAACGGACCAAACAAACAACCTCTGGATCACAACCAAGTACGAACCGAAGCCCGACCATGCACAACCCGAAGCCCAAGTGATGACACCCCCAGAGCCCGACCAGTTGTGTAACCGGACCCCAACTAGTTGTGTTACTGCAAGCCTAGCAAGCAAACATCTCATCCAACACACACAAAGCCAAACAAACAGCCCCAAAGCCCAACCAAACTCACTCCCTAGCTCTACCAAACAAACACTTCCTTAGCCCTACCTAACAACCCCCTCCCCCCCTGTCTTGCCTTAACAACTAACTTTGGAGCCAAAGTAAACATTTGAGCCCTATACAAAAAAAAGAGACCTGGAACTCCTGCAAAAAATGCAACAATGAAGCCTTAGGAAATAAACATGCACTTAATCATAGTAAAGAAACAACCATGATTATCTAGCAAAGACACATGAGGCACTAGCACACAACCCCTGGAGCACAACTATGCATGAACCGAAGCCTGATCATGCACAACCCGAGGCCCAAGTGACACCCCCGGAGCCCGACCAGTTAAGTAACCGGAGCCCGCCAGTTAATTAAGTAACCGGAGCCCGACCAGTTATTAACCGGAGCCCGACCAGTTGTGTTACCAGAACCCGACCAGTTGTGTAACCGGACCTCGACCAGTTGTGTAACCGCAAGCCTATCATGAACGGACCAAACAAACAACCTCTGGATCACAACCAAGCACGAACCGAAGCCCGACCATGCACAACCCGAAGCCAAATTGATGACACCCCCAGAGTCCGACCAGCTGTGTAACCGAAGCCCGACCAGTTGTGTAACCGGACCCCAACTAGTTGTGTTACTGCAAGCCTAGCAAGCAAACATCTCATCCAACCCACACAAAGCCAAACAAACAGCCCCAAAGCCCAACCAAACTCCCTCCCTAGCTCTACCAAACAAACCCTTCCTTAGCCCTACCTAACCCCCCCCCCCCCCTGTCTTGCCTTAACAATTAACTTTGGAGCCAAAGTAAACAAACAATTGAGCCCTATACAAATAAAGAAACCTGGAACTTCTGTAAAAATACAACAATGAAGCCCTAGGAAATAAACATGGACTTAGTCATAGTAAAGAAACAACCATGATTATCTAGCAAAGACACATGAGGCACTAGCACACAACCCCTGGAGCACAACTATGCACAAACCGAAGCCTGATCATGCACAACCCGAGGCCCAAGTGACACCCCCGGAGCCCGACCAGTTAAGTAACCGGAGCCCGCCAGTTAATTAAGTAACCGGAGCCCGACCAGTTATTAACCGGAGCCCGACCAGTTGTGTTACCAGAACCCGACCAGTTGTGTAAACGGACCCCGACCAGTTGTGTAACCGCAAGCCTAGCAATTATACATCTCATCCCACCCCCACCAAGCTAAACAAACAGCCCCGGAGCCCAACCAACCAAACTCCATTCCTAGCTCTACCAAACAAACACTTCCTTAGCCCTACCTAAAACCCTCCACTTGCCCTAGAAACTAACTATGGAGCCATAGCAAACAAAAATTGAGCTCTGTACGAAAAAATAAACCCAGATTTCTAGCAAACATACAACCATGGAGGCCTAGCAAACAAACCTGGAGCACGAGTACACAATCAACCATTGGTGTAAAACCATGCACGAACCGGAGCCCGACCAAGAACAACTAGAAGTCCAACCAGCTGTGTAATCGCAAGCCTACCGAGCAAATATCTCATCCAATCCCCTACTAATATGCTAAGTTGGGCGCCAACGGGTCCAATTTAATGCCAACCCTTTTTGTCATATACATCAACGACATCGATGAGAATATTACAAATCACATAAAATTTGCAGATGACACTACAATCTATAGTAAAGTGGGAAGTGAAAGCTATATTGAAACCTTACAAAGAAATCTACATGAACTCCACAAATGGTCAGATGACTTTTTAATGTCGATAAATGGAAGCCCTTGCAAGTGGGGCATAACAATCCACGTCACAATTACTAAATTGACAGCACTACCTTTCAACAGATAGATGAAGACAAGGACCTTGGAGTTAGAATCCATCACGTGAGGCATAACAATACACAACACCTACCAAATCATCAACATTATCTTGGAGTCAGAGTCCACCAGTCACTGTCAGTTTTTTTTTTTTTTTTTTTTTTTTTTTTTTTTTTTTTTTTTTTTTTTTTTTTTTTTTTTTTTTTTTTTTTTTTTTTTTTTTTTTTTCTTTTTACTTAAAATTACCATTAAGTTTATTTTACTTTAGAATTTTTAATCTGCTTTTTTCTTTGTTTTCTATTTTGTAATTTGCCATTCTTACCTTGTTTTCCTGCAATCAGCCTTTTTATGCAGACAAGTATAGACCCAGAACTAAACCTCTTATCCACTATCTATGACAATCATCACTTCAATGATCAAAATTGCAGATATTTTACAGCAAATGATGTAAACAATGTATTATCAGATAATCTCAATATCTCTGTAATCAACTTGAACGTTAGATCCCTAGGTAAACACTTCGATGATGTTAGTGCCTTGATTGAAACTATTGACAACAAATTCTCTTTTATTATACTTACTGAAACGTGGTTGAAAGAGGATAATACTCAACTCTTTAACATGCCTAACTACTCGGCAATTCACAACTGTCGTCAAATGCAGAGAGGTGGTGGTACTGCTCTTTACTACCACCAAGAACTAACATGCTTAAAAATAATTAGAACTAGAGACTGCTGTGGGGAGTATATTTTTGCCAGTTTCAGAGTCAAGGGTGCCGAGTCTGTCCTGTCTGTGGGTGCAGTCTATAGAATTCCTAACACTGATGTGTCTGAATTCAACTCAAACCTTAGAAATCTAATACTAGATAACAGATTGAACAAAAACCATCTAATTATCGCAGGGGACTTTAATATTGACCTCTGCGAGCCTGAACACCCTACTGCTGTTAGCTTCCTCAACTGTATGAATTCCTGCTTCCTCATACCCTTAATCACTAGACCAACTAGAATCACTGATAGTACTGCTACGACTCTAGATCACATCTGGACCAACATAACCTCTCCGCTTACTTCAGGTATAATCACCGATAGCACTACAGACCATTACCCCACATTTCTCTTAACTAACATTAGCAAACCACCTCTAGAGACAAGGGAGTTAAGCTTTAGGCTGCACAATGAAACTGCTATAAACAATTTTATAACTGCTGCTGATAATGTCAACTGGGAGTCCGAGTTAGGTAACATAGGGGACATCAACCTAGCAGTGAAATCTTTTCTACAAACAACTCTTAGTCTTTATAACACCCACTGTCCTATGCTTACAAAACAAGTCACAAGCAAAAGACTTAACAATCCTTGGCTTACAAAGGGAATACTTAAATCCATTAACAAAAAACACGACCTTGAGAAGAAGTATAGGCTAGGAACAGTCTCCAAAGATTTCTCAAAGAATTACTCGTTATTGCTATCTAAAATAATTAGACGAGCCAAAACTAAATACTATGAAGATAAATTTACCCAAATAAAGAGCAACATTAAAAAAACTTGGAGCACAATTTCACAAATATTGGGATCAAAGAAGATTTTAAATAACAAACCAACACTCCTTTCCAATAACGTTGGTCAGCTTTCAGCCTCTGATTCTGCTATTGAGTTCAATAGGTTCTTCTCTTCCATTGGGTCATCCCTTGCAAATGATATTCCATCTTCCTGTACTGATGTTAAGGACTATCTTACAGGTAACTATCCACAGTCTCTGTACCTAAAGCCTACTAGTTCCACTGATGTCAATGAAATAATCCTTTCCCTTAAAACCAAGTCTAGTGCCCTCGAGGAGATACCAACTTTAATTTACAAAAAAGCCTCCAGATCTCTAGCCCCTGCTATTGCATTGCTCTTCAACAAGTCACTTGAACTCCAAACCTTTCCTGACATTCTAAAAAAAGCAAGAGTAACCCCTGTCTACAAATGTGGTGATCTCACTGATGTTAACAACTATAGACCTATATCAATCCTGCCTAACTTGTCAAAAATATTCGAAAAGCTAATCTACAAGCAGCTTTACTCTTTTCTAGCCAAACACAATATACTTAGCTCTTGTCAATATGGCTTCAGACCCAAAAAAAGCACTAACGATGCACTTATTAGTATGATTAACGTAATTCACGCAGCTCTTGATAAAAAGGAGTTTCCTGTTGGGTTATTTGTGGACCTGCGTAAGGCTTTTGACACTGTCAACCATCAAAACCTTCTTCTTAAATTACATCATTATGGAGTCAGAGGACACTCCCTGCAATACCTCAAATCTTATCTTACTGACAGGCTCCAGTATGTTTCTGTGAATAATACAATTTCTCCCACCCTACCCATCAACATTGGTGTTCCTCAGGGCAGCATACTTGGCCCTCTCCTCTTTCTCATCTACATTAATGACCTTCCAAATGCCTCCCAACACCTCAAACCAATTCTATTTGCTGACGACACAACCTTCATTTACTCCAGTCCTGACCCCCTTGCTCTAAATGCCACAGTAAATACTGAGCTAGAGAAAGTCCATCTTTGGCTAACTGCCAACAAACTCACCCTTAACATTGACAAAACGTTTTATATTCTGTTTGGCAATAAATCCTCTAATCAGATAAATCTCAAAATAAACAATACCCAAATTTGTAACAAATTAGATGGCAAATTCCTTGGCGTTCTCATCGACCACAAGCTGAATTTCCAGGGTCACATTCTAAATATATCAAAAAAAGTTTCAAAAACTGTTGGCATTCTTTCTAAGATCAGATATTATGTACCCCGCCCTGCTCTGGTTACTCTCTATTACTCCCTCATCTATCCATACCTCAACTATGGTATTTGTGCTTGGGGTTCTACTACCCAAAATCATTTACGTCCTCTCATTACCCAACACAAAGCTGCTATTAGGACAATAACCAACTCTGGCCCCAGACATCACTCGGTACCCTTACTCAAATCTCTGAATATGTTAGATATTAAGTCACTGCACATTCTCTCTTGTGTATTATACATATATAAAACGCTGAACTGTAATGCCAATCCTGACCTCAAAAGCTTCATTGAAGGTTGTAACAGAACCCATGAGCACCACACCAGGAATAAATACAGTTTTGATATTCCTAGAGTACGACTTAATCAAACTAGAAATGCTCTACAAATCAAGGGACCCAGAATGTGGAATGACCTTCCCAACCATGTTAAAGACTGTACCTCTCTCAACCAGTTTAAGATAAAAACTAAACAATACCTAATAAATTCCCTGTAACCCACCTCACTCCTTTATTGTCAACCCATGTCTGTTATTTTATTTTATTATTATTATATTTTTTTTTAATCAACACTGTTTGTCAACCTATTGTATTTGTGCTGCTTTTTCAGTCATGTTCCCCCTTTTTTTATCTTTATTTGTATTTGTTTTCAACACTTTTTATTCTTTATGCTCAATTAGTATTAAGTTCTAGATATTAATGTTTTTCTTGCCCGAAACGCATTGCGTAATAGTGGCTTTAGGCATTGTATGTACTAGCTCTATCTATATATCAATCCATTAATGTAACATCACTTGTATGTATGTACCTTACCTGAATAAACATATTTATTTTATTTATTTTATTAGTTGTACAATAAGTGGGAGCGGCAGTAAAAAAGCTAACCATAGGCAAGCCTGGCCTGAGGACAGGCAACTGTAAATGCTTCACCCTCCACATACTTCAAGTGAAAATAATTGCCAACAGAACCTAAATACCGAACCTACTATACGCCTAATTAAACAAAATATAAAATTAATTTATACAAGATAAAAACTTTTTATCACACATTTACTTTACTTAACACAGTACATGAAAGTCATGTACTTTCATGATGATAATAAATGCATGTAATAAATGCATCTTGGGAGGTGGCGAGGGGTGGGGGGGTGTCGACCGCCGCGTTAACGAGCCTAGCCTAACGACGGGGTGGTTTAACACTATAGGGAAGTGTATTCTACATAATATCCTACCCATATAATGTTGGCAAATCATAATCCTCAAAAATCTTCCACAATACCTGAGAGAGGATAGACTATTTAGCATTAGTGGAATACAAACATTTGAATATTGCAGAACCCAGATGAAAAAAAAAACACGGAAACATTACAAAAACTCAATATTATAATAACGAACAAATGTATAATGCATTAAGCATTTGTTGGTGGAGGTATACTATATATATTCATGCGTACCTCCCAACTGTTCACATATATTAACCAAAAAAAATAAAATTATCAGCCTTACCTAGAGGGGGAACGACGATGCTGACGCCGCCGCTGCTTCCTGACGACTGACGGGGGTCGCAGTCAATGAACCGTTAGCCTCCCACCGACCCAGAGACCCTCTGCCTAAAATTATTTGAACGCCATATTGAAATTCCTAGCGTATATAGCGCCAGGAGTGTGTAAAATTAATATTTATATGCATTATAGGCCTTTCTAAAGCAATTTATAGATCTGAATATCATATATTGTCTAACAAACGAATTATTTAAGTTAAGATTGTAATTCTGCCAAATACAAGTCTCATCGCACACAAGACGATTCGTCAACGGATTTTTTTATTTATTGTTTTATTTATATATATATAAAAAAGAGTTCTTAAATTCTTGTAAAACCACTACCTTGCATAGCGTTTCGAGCAGGTTCTTAATCCTATTTTTTTCCGCGGAATACTACCCGCCAAATCGCTTAACAACCTATTCACTGCTGGGTGAACAGTTAAGGATTGGCGCCGGGTCAATCCTTCCCAGATAGGATACGAACCTAGGTCAAAGCGCTGGCGAATACTTGTGTACCCACAGTACACAATATATATATATAATCATGGCATTTGGTCTAAAAATCAATGAATCAAAAGATATATTGAGTTCGGAAGTAGCGTGGATGTAAACAAAGTGTTTACATCAGAATATGCATACAATTAACTATGCACGAACATTAACACGGGATGAAAAATGTGACAGTGTGAGACCACGAAGGAAGAATTGAAACAGGAATGTCCTTAAGTACTTTCGTATTTAATAATACATCCTTCTGAAGATGTATTATTAAATACGAAAGTAATTAAGAAATTCCTGTTTCAATTCTTCCTTCGTGGTCTATGGCACTGTCATATGCATATATGGAGAGTGTCACACCATATTAATAACCTGCTGCTTATGCAATGAGATTGAAGGTGAATTTCAAGCTTGACCTATACTCTTACGGGTTCACCATAGCCCGTGCTGCTTGGAACTTTTTGTTCAGCTGAAGCTAAAACAACAAGAAGCTATATACTCTGTCACTCCTATATAGCACATCTGAGGCACCGTTAAAGAGGCACTTCAGGATGCGGGCAACTGGAGTCGAACAGCAACTGTAAGCTGTGGAGACACACACACACACACTGGGCCAACTTGTATTGATTATTGTTATTGTTTTAGATTCAGCTACTCAGAACAAAAGTTCCAAGTAGCACGGGCTATGGTGAGCCCGTAGTGGACTTACCTGGCACAGGAGCGGGGCTGTGTGTCGTATTGATTGATTGATTCTATTCTTATACGGGAAGATATAATTGGTTGTTAAAGTACATATATGGTGGATGAGTAGTACATTAAAACATAAATATAAACATTTAGGCAAACGTACATATATATAGGAGGATTATCAAGAGGTACAATGTAGCATAATTTGAGGTTTATTTCTAGGTATAATGTAGTAAAATATGCGTTCAATAACTATGATATAAGATGATAGCAGTGATTACAAAGGTGAAGTTGTATGACTTAGGCACATTGGGGGAGTGGGTACAGTAGCACAAGATATAGTGCGAGAATAAGGCAATAGATACTGTATAATGATGTCGGGTCTCAGGGTAAAGTAATTAGACAGTCTCTAACCTATTTTTCTCTCACACCACTTGCATTGTTATTTATATATTTGTGATGGTCTCGGAACAAATTACAGTTCCAATTAGAGTCTAATTGTAAACTATTAAGTGAATCTTTGTCTTAAACAGAGCATATAATCGTTATAATTGCATTATAAATCGATGGATTAAAATAGAAAATGTCCACGTCAAGCTCGTTTTCTTTAATATGCCTTAAGGCTTTGGTTTTCTTTTATTGTTAAATTTTAGGGGATACTTAAGCAGTTTTCGACGTTCCTTATTTCAACTATTCGAGCATTAACCTGCCCTCTTACAAAGAACATAACTTAATCAAACCTAACCTTATTATTAGTATTATTGACTTATTTACAATAAGGTACAATGGGTTTGTGAGATTACAAAATATTGGCATTTTTGCATTCTTTGCAAAGCCACTAACACGCATATAGCGTTTCAGGCAGAGACCGAAACCTAACCTAATAATAATAATAATAATAATAATAATAATAATTTTTATTTAGGCAAAGGTACATACATAAAGAGATTTTACAAAGTTTGTTGGCTTTATAGATAGAGCTAGTACATACAATGCCTAAAGCCACTATTACGCAAAGCGTTTCGGGCAGGAAAAAACACTACTGACTAAAGCTTAAAACTAATGGGTAAAAAGAAAAAAATGCGTTGAGTACAAATAAAAATAGAGGTAAAAGAGGGGGGGAACATTGTTGAAAAAACAGCACAAATACAATTATAAATTATTACAGAAAATTACATTAAAACAGCGTTGATTTGTAAAAAAAAAAAAAAAAAAAAAAAAAAAAAAAAAAAATCTAACCTAACCTAACCTAACCTAACCTAATCTAATCTAACAGAGGGGATGTGTGTTGTCTTAAGTTGCAATGAAAGAAGTTTGTTACTACATGTCATTGCAATTATAAGGTGCGCAGATTAGTTGTGATGGATAATATAAAAATATCTGCTGAGCAGCCGAGATCTGATCAAGATTTGTTGTGTCCTCTGCATGTAAACCTCAGAGGCCAGGGAGAATGGACTATAGACTCCAGTCCTTAATTGCTCGCCTCTCTTCACTCATCAGTAATTGGGTACCTGGTTGTTATAACCAATGGGCAGGTTGTGTTCCAGGGAATTCCAGCAGGTAAAGAGCACCATGAGCTATGGTAAGGGGATGCTGTAATTAAGCGTGCTAATAGGAGTTATAAGTCGTCTATTCCTGCTTCTGGTTGCAACAATAAAAAAACTAACCCGGGTCCCCCTCGGTTGTGAGCCGAGGACGTAGACTACTTTGCTACAGAACTCGTATAAGTTGAACATATATCTTCTCTTCTCTATATCTAATAACTAGATGTGGTACCCAGCTGCACCCAGTCTCTCTCCTCCTCTCTCATCTCTCTTTCCTCTATCCATCTTTCTCTTCCAACATCTCCTTCGCCCTCCACCCTCTCTCCCACTCCCCTCCTCCATCCCCATGAAAACTGCGGTTTTCTCAACCCATGATTTTCTTCAGACTTCTTCAGACTAAAATCTGCTATTAAAACAGAGAACAAACTCTTCTTCAGACAACACACAGCCCCTCTGCTTAAGTCCCTTAACATGCTAAACATACACTCACCCCACACATTCTCATGTGCTATCTACATGTACAAAACCTTGTTCCTAAATGCTAATCTTGATCTGAAACTTTTCCTTGAGAGGTGTAATAGAACCAATGAGCACCACACCAGAAATACATATATCTTTGATGTCCCCAGAGTCAGACTAAATATGTGCAAACAAGCCATGCAAATAAAAGGGCTCCAGTCTTTGGAACTCACTCCCTGATGAATACAAAAATTGTCCAGCCCTATTCAGAAATAAAACCAAAAATTACCTAATTTCATCTTCATAATTTCCCACCATAAGTGCTACAAACTCACACTGTATCTTGTACTATCCACTTCCTCAATATTATTAGCTTGAGACTAATTAAGTACTTAATCTTTATCAGTGTAACCACCTCTGTCAATTTATATTGTCGATATAAAACCTTGCTACAATATAGTTTGTCATCTTACCTAATATGTTAGATTAGGGACCTGCCCGAAACGCTATGAGTGTTAGTGGGTTGCAAGAATGCAAAAAATACCAGTCTTATGTAATCTCACCAACTCATTGTACCTTCTTGTGAATAAAATATGATATTATCATATTATTATTTCATGAAAATCTCCGGGTGGGTGGAGGAGGCACTTAAAACACTGAATATTTCTTAAACCATGATGCTTGGGCCAACCCTGATTAATATGTATATAGGGCAGAGATGCGGGCGTGATGGGGTGGGATGGTGAAGAGGGTGTGGGCGTGGGTATGTGTAGGTTTAGTTTAGTTCATTTATTATGTACCCCATACCCATATTGTGGGCGGTAGTGGAAAGGGTTACAGAGGCACATAATGGGCTCAGGGACTGAACCACACAATTCATTTAGCTAAGCAAGTTACAATCTTAATGAGCTAATTACAAAATTCAATATAAGTCGTCACATCAACAATGGGTTCGAGATCGACCTCAAGTACAGGTTCTAAATTAAGCAACTGACATATGTGGAGAGCTAGTGTCAAAATTGATATATTTGTCCTGCACACCGCCTCCCATCCAGTGGGCAGCGGTGGATAGGTTACAATCACTCAGTTACTACCTACAGTTAGCAAACTGGGGATATTTGGCTAAAATTTCTGGTAGCAGATCATTTTGTAGGGTGTGTAGGGTATGTGGGGTGTGGGTTGAGGGTTGAATGTGGCGGGTGTGCATGAGGAGCCACCTAGCGGGGCGGGGAGACGCATGCGTGCTCCCGGGGGTCCAGTACGACGCACCCTGCCATATTGTTTTCACACTCTCCGTCTCCCCGCTCGACTCTCACGCAAAAATGGGCCGCAAGAAGAAGAAGCAGACTAAACCCTGGTGTTGGTAAGTGGTGGTGCTGGCCCCTAGGTGGGCCTGAAGGGCCCGCAGGGCCCCTGGGCCCTCCTCTAGACGGGTAAAATAGGGATCTAGCCGCTGGTAGTGGGTCTCCATCGTCCACCCCCTCTGCCGATCGATGCACCGAGCCGCCCCAAAAGTATTTGGGTCATAACTGTTGTATATCTGTGTGTTGTGGCCCCCGGCTGGTTGTGATGCCCGGCGTGGGAGATGCACAGGTTGTAGGAGTAGCTGCAGGAGAGGTATTATAAGGGGGTTGTGGGCGACGGCAGGGTATATGGAAGCCGCACACGGCTGCTAGGCTATTTTTATTCCCTTGATATCCTCCTCACGGCCTTGGAGCCTCTCGCTCGCTCAACTCATTCGCTATTTGGTATTCTTCGCCGCGATCTCTTTCTGGTTAATTATTTTTTTATGTTTTGGTTTGATCCGGATGACTTGAATGTGTGGCTTGAATTTTTAGGTTTGATTTTGTAGATCTTGCTAGTGAAGAGTGGACAGGTCTGGAAGAATTCAGTTGAAACTCGTCTCGAGGTACGTTGTATTAGGCAGTTAGAATATTAAATTAATATTAGCCTATCAGTCCATGATCACATTTCTCCAAAAGTGTTTTATTTTTGTCCACGGTGAACTCTTCTGGACCATTATGTACATGATTTATTCTAACTTATGTTTGGTCAATAGTATTTTTATTGTAGTACTTATGACTATAGAGCTGGTACACGGGGGGGGGGGGGGGGATGGAAGTTTTTTTTTACTTGTGGAATAAATAATGGATCTTTAGAAACATTATTGAAAATTAGTACCGGGGTCATCACGCCACCACGTGGAATGATCAAATGGCCAAGGTATGTCTGTAGTGTCAATAGTATTATGCTTGGACATTCACAACAAATATTTAACATGCAAATATTGATTAGTTTTATTCAGAAGTACACAGGACAGGAATTTTTATGCTTATAATTGTGTGACGGCATCAAATTACAACCTCGGTTTGAGTCGCTCGTATAGCTCAAAATGTGTCATATTTAGAGACATTGTACATACTATATAATTAAGATACTTTAGGAGTTCTACATCTGTAGATTAATGGGTTAGAGTGGAACCACATCACGTTGCACATGCAGCTCATGTAACACAGGATTGACTTCAAGAGGATTTAAGTTCTAAACAACTTGTCTCTGTAAGTTGTCAGCAATTCCTTAATAACGAGTATCAAACTCTGCCCTCTAGACAGATAAGTTGAGACTTACTGCACTGTTATACTTATCAATGTTGTGTTTTCTTTGAATTGTGTTGATATTTCTAGCAAAAGATAGTGACCACTTGTATGCGAATACCTGATGAGCTAATGCTGTTAGCAATATAGGTAGTAACTGTTACAATAGAAGTTTGTTTGTGAATTCTGGTGTAGGTATGAACCAGGTAACATCAGTGATTGAGAGGATGGGCCCCTAAGGTAAATCTGAAAAATACAATATAGCTTGCCAAGGTCAGCATTATATAGTCCCATAGTTGGCAGCCACACAGCGATACTGGCACCCAAGTGTGGTTACAGGATGAGAGCTATGCTTGTGGTGTCCCACCTACCCAGCACTGTCATAAAACGCTTTGAAACTACTGACGGTTTTGGCCTTCCACCTTCTCACCTAACTTGTTCCAACCGTCTACCACCCTGTTTGTAAAAGAATTAAAAATCTCAACACATGAGTGGGTTTGACCTGGAGATCATCAGGACTCCGGCGGTCGTCCCCACAACCTGGTCATGACTCCTCTTTCTGTACTCTCAGTGAGGTGCCAAAATGACTTGATTCATTTGGTAATAATATATTTGTTTCAACCTTCAAGTTTCAGATAGCATTAGCAAAGTTGACACGGGGACCCCATACCTTGTGTAGCTTTGTATACCTTGTGTCCCCATACCATTGAGTACATTATACCTGTATAATATAACCTAGAGGCTTTAAGGAATGTTTTACTGGCAAGTCTTCATAGTAGTTTTAGTATAAGATCTGGATAAAGCAAGTTTAGTAAATTAAGAGCAAGTGCCATGAAGCACATTTGCTTTCATTGAATGTGAGGTTGAGAGATCCATTATGCAACTCCGGTCAGCAGCACAGTAGGAACATTAGCCTTGGTACCTTTTATGTAACAGCCAGTTGTCCTAAATTTGAACTCCTTCAGCAGTGGAATATGGTCTAAATTTTGTTTTTAAGCCAATTCATTCAATTTTTTTATATAAAATTTAGTGGGATAATTAAATACTAGTACAGTACAATAGCCTAATTTGAAAACTGCCTAAGGTTGTTAATTCATGCACAGTACAGTAGGTAAAGGCCAGTTGTAATTAATACTATAAATTGCCTAATATTTTGTGCTAATGTGCGTGTAAACTTTTCCAGGTACTGCAACCGGGAATTTGACGATGAAAAAATTTTAATACAGCATCAGAAAGCCAAACACTTCAAATGTCATATATGTCACAAGAAATTATACACAGGTCCAGGTTTATCCATCCATTGTATGCAGGTAAGTACTTGCCTGCTGTAGTTTAGTTTACAGAGAATAGGATCCAGTTCCTTGGCCCCTTCATTATCATTATTTGGGGGAATGCCTACCGAACCCTACAGATTTTCTTGTATATGTATCATATTTACATATTTTTTGATATCTTGTGTGGAGCTGACCTGTACCCAGTGCATTCTGCCTATTTCACTACCCTCAGACTAAAGATACATCCTTAGTTTTCTTGCTCGTCATTTGATTGATAGTTCAGAGGCGGGACTAAAGAGCCGAAGCTCAAACCCCGCAAGCACGATTAGGTGAGTACATCATCGTGCATCTCCCTGGCTCATTCAGGTTATTGGTTCCCATTTGTCACCATGCCCCGGTCCCACCCCATTTGTTGCCATATCATGCCCCGGTCTCACCCCCGTGTGCCACCATGCCCCGGCCCCGCCCCACGTGCCACCATGCCCCGGCCCCGACCCACGTGTCACCATGCCCCGGCCCCGCCCCATTTTAACAAGACCTGACAGTGATTTCATTAAACTTTTCTGTCACACTAAGGCAGCAGCTATTAGCAGCACAACATAGTCCATATCTGCCTTACAGTGACCAGGGAGCCAGAGTCACGAAGCAGTTATGCAAGCACCAACGAACCTGTACATCATTTCTCAATTTTTGGCGGCTTTGTTTACAATTATTAAACAGTTAATGAGCTCCATAGCACCAGGCGACTGTATAACAATGACAACAGTTGATTGGGAAGTTTTCATGCTTGTAAACTGTTTAATAAATGTAACCAGAGCTGTCAAAGAGTGAGGAAAGATGTGCACGTTTGTAAGTATTTGCGTAACTGCTTCGTGAATCTGGCCCCAGCACTCTTCCCATGGACAGAACCAGATGCAGGCACTTCTGACACTTACTTCCTGTCATTGCAAGAATCTTTTCAAATCTCCTCTGTGACAGTGGGGAAAGGGAAATGTTGGAGATTGATTTAGGTAACCTGGAATGACCCCCAGTAAGCTTATAAAATCCAAATTTTTGTAGGCCTTGGTCTGGAAGCCTTTCCTCTGGAGGATATTTCTATGTGGCTAGTTCTTGTTGGAGTGCTCTGCATTTACTGCTTCAGTAAAGTCAGTAAACTTTATTGTGATATTTTTCTTGGGAGATTTATCCAAAACAGTTTTTCTACAACATTTTCTAAGCAACAACAATTGTCATGTGCAATTTTTAATACATTCTTTTTATTGTGTAGGTACACAAGGAAACAATAGACAAAGTTCCGAATGCCCTTCCAAATCGAAACAATATAGAAATAGAAATATATGGAATGGAGGGTATACCGGAGGAGGATCTAAAGGAGCACGAAAGACAACGTGCGGGGAGAATGGGTCCCGGAGGTCGGCGGCAAGATGAAGAAGACGACGACGACTCGCAATCTAGTCTCCCCGGCCAGTCGAATCCACCGCCCCCATCCGTGCCTTCTCAGGGACCACCTGGACCCATGGGTCCCATGATGGGTCCAAATGGACCCATGATGCCAATGATGGGACACATGGGGCCAATGGGGCATATGCCTCCTTATATGGGTGGACCAGGCATGATGGGTGGACCTATGGGGCATTTAGGCCCCATGCCTCCACCTGGTGGCCCTCCTGTCGCCAACCCTCCCAGCACGTCTCAACCACCTAACAAACCACTCTTCCCATCTGCGGCACAGGTATGTATGGTCTGTGGTGCATATGGAGAGGAACTTGTTTGAAATGATCAATAATATCACAAAACTTGCTTCTTTTTCTTTAGTAAGTTTTTCTTTAGAAAGTTTTCCCTAACCCATGTAGTAGTAGTCATCATCTTTCCAAACCGAACTTGAATTGTGTGCGTGTATCCTCCATCATCATCATTCATATAACCCAGCAAGCCCTTTAATCAAATGTGGATTTACTGAAATTCCTGATGTGAATATTTAACTACAGTATTTAATTATAGATTCCCTTAGTATAGTGTTTGATAAGGCTTCTATTCCTCATTTGCTGTTTTTTACCCTTTATTTGTCTCCTTTAAATTGTAAAAAAAATGAAGATGTCTTGGGAACATTGTGAAGTTATTAAACTATAGTATAATGGATTTTTTTTTTGGGGGGGAAAGTGGTACTGTATTGGGATGGATCTTGGAATCTAATAGTGCTTATGACACAAAAATGGTGCAGTGAAACCCTTCATTATCTGGACCCCCTTTTGGGGGCGGGGGGGGGGGGGGGGGGGTTAGCAAGTTCAGAAGCATGTCTGGTAAATGAAGCTTAGACCCCCCCCCTTCCCCCTCCCATCAGTCTTGAAGTTTCGGCAAGGTTTGGTAATGGGGGCATTTGTATTAGGTGTTAAAAGGAGAATGAGAGAGAGTTTTAAATGATAGGTTTATTGTATTGTAGGAGAGTTAGGTAGTTAAAAAAAAAAAAAAATGGTCTTTAGGTGTATACTTCACATCATGGGAGTATAATTTTAAGTCATGGCTGCTCTTATTTTAATAAGTTTTTCTCAATATGTGCAGTATTTTGGTCCTGCAGGAACATTGAGAAATTCTTTAATAATTTTTGTAAGGTTGTAGATATTTATGCTGCTAGCACCAAAATGTTGAGGGCCAGATTATATGATAGTTTTATCGCTTAACACGTAAAGTCGATTTAATCTACATTGTGCAATATCTGATCCTTTATATATGTGCCTTCTTCACCAGAAGTGGCATTCTTGTCAAGGTACTGTATATGGAGAAGTTTTCAATATTCAGGATAGCACATCCACAATGACATCTTTGGTGAACACCAAAGTCGCTGGACTTTGGAAAAATCAGTGACATCTTGGTGGGAGATGTCACTGATTTTACATTTAATAAAAATTCCTATTAAACACATTGATGACAGCTGGAAATTTGTGTAATCCTGGGAATAGAAGCTGTATTTTTATAAACTGTAGCTTTCCTTAATAAGATTAAAGGAGAGCTAGAACTCGCCTTGATGTCCATCTTGAACTAATTAGAAGATATAAGGCAGTGATAGTTTTGACCACCACTTGAGCACCTCTATTGTGAAGCCACCTTTTAATATTCTTCATTGACAAGTTGATGTTACTTGTGATGCTTTCAAGGTCCATCTATCCTGGGAGGAGGCCAGTGGCAAACATGAATAACCTAATGCTTTTGATTTTTGACGTGTGTCTGGGTTGGGACCAGTCTATACCATGCAAGCTGAATACCAAGAGAAGGCATATTTAACTGGTTTGAGTTTAAGAGAATATAGAACTTTGTGTCTTGCACAATCTATGGATAGCTCACTTGTGCATCAGGTATGACTGTTTGGCCCAGTTCAGGCATAGCACTAGGGCACCATACATATAGTATTATAAGAGTTCAGGAATTTGAGAGGTATACTGGTAAATACAAAATAGCCAGATGCATTTCCAGAAATGTTTTATTATTTTTGGTGAGTATGTATGTAATCACCCAAGTGGAGTTACAGGATGAGAGCTGCGCTCGTGGTGTCCCATCTTCTCAGCACTCATATAACGCTATGAAACTACCTACGATTTGGGCCTCCACCACCGTCTCGCCTAACTTGTTCCAACCGTCTACGACTGTTTGCGAACGTGAATTTTATATTTCTTGGGCAGCTTTGTTTAGTTTAAATCTGTGACCTCTTATTCATGAAGTTCCAGGTCTCAGGATTCTTCCCTATTAATTTTGTCGATTCCCATTCTATTTTGTACATTGTGATCAGTACATTGTATAGCTTATTTTTCTTCTATCTTGTTTTGGCATATTTAGTGCCTCTAATCTCACCTCATAGCTCTTGTCTTTGTTCTAGGAACCATTTAGTTGAATGTCTTTGCACCTTTTCAGTTTGTCAATATGTGTAAGATATGGACACCATACAACTGCTGCATATTCCAGGTTTGGTCTCAAAGGTCATGATTAATTTGTTTAGTATTTCACATCCATATTTTTAAAAGCAAATCTGAAATTAGAAAGTGTAGCAAAGGCTCACACAATGCTCTTTGTGGTCCTCCGGTGATAGTTTTCTATCAGAACTGCCCCTAGATCTCTCTATTAGATTGTTTAAAGCTATTTCAAATAATTTGTAGGTTGTGTGTTCTCTCTTCTATTCCACGTACTATAACTTGGCATTAATTCACATTAAATTCCATTTGCCAAGTGATGCTTTATACTTATTTTGTCCAGGTCTTCTTGAAAGGCACGACAATTGTCTATAAGTTTATCTTACCTAGTATCTTAGCATCTTTAGCGAACAAGATCTTGTAATTCTGTATTCTTTCTGGTTGGTCGTTTATGCAGACAGAACAATACCAGTACAAGAACTGAACCCTGTGGTAGAGGGTAGTTCAGGGCCAGTAGTTCAGTTTAGTAGTTCAGGGTAGTACAAGGTCACTGCTCAATACCCTGTGGTACTCCACTAGAGACATTTCCCCAGGCCAATACATTGGCTCTTGATTACTGCCCTAATTTTTCTGTCAAAATTTTTTATCTGTGTTAGAAGCCTCCCTGTCTCTTCCAGTATGTTCCAGTTTTCAGGACAGCTGCTTATGTGAAACTGTCGAAAGCCTTTTTTTAGGTCCAGATAATTACAGTCAACCCAGCCATCTTTCTCCTGTAAAATCTGTGACCCTTGTCATAGAAACAAAGTAAATTTGTTACACTATCTTTCAGATCGAAAACCATACCGTCTGTCATTACATCATATTTCTCTAGGTGTTTCTACCCATTTGGTTTTAATTATATTTCAGTATTTTGATTACTTGTCAATGATACAGGTCTATAATTAAGGGGGTCTTCCCTGCTGCCACTTTTGTAGATTGGAACTGTTAGTTTTCCATATATCTGCCAGGGCTCCTGTACACACAGATGCCTGAAAAAATCAATTGGAATGGAATGTTGAACTCGGGTGCACATTCTCTTAGACACCAAGGTGAAACCGTGTCTGGGCCAACTGCTTTGTTTCTACTTGACTCCTTGAGCATTTTTTGCATTTCATCTTGAGACCCCAATGTGCTCTGTAGTTCTTATAGTCTGGTTCTCTGAAAATTTCATTTTGCACAAACACTTTGGAACTGTTTGTTTAATGTTTCACACATTTTCTCTTCATTTTCCATTGTTTCCCATTTTCAACCTCTAAATTTATATCCTTTATCTGCAGTTTGTGTTTAATGAATGTATAGAATAGGCCTGGTTCTGTTTTACATTTGTCCGCTATCCCATTCTCAATTTTTCTGCCTTTCGCTACTGTGTAATTGTTTCTTTTGTATTGCTGGTATGTTTGAGGGTTTGGCCTCTTCCTATATCGATTCCATTTTTGTGTCTTTTGATCTCTGGCGCTCTTGCCATTTCTGTTGACCAAATCCTGTTTTCTAATTCTGCATATGTGTTAGTGTAATTTTTTTTGTGCCTTCATGATATATTAAACAAAATTTGACATGCATCTCATTTATTTCCTTGCCTAACAGCAAGTCTTTCCAATCAAATTCATTAAAGAACTTTCAAAGTTCCCCATAGCAACCTCTCCCGAAATTAGGGTTTTATCTGCTTTATTTTTCTTTGTGAAGGGGGCACAATGTGTGTCAAACGTAAGACGATACTGTACCTCTGACTCCAACAATTATTATTTTGCCTTTCAAAGAGTAATTCTGTACTAGGAGATATTGACGTTATGGCAGTCATCCGTAAGCTCTGTGCTTCAGCTTCCTCAAGTGTTACACACACTAATATTATCTTGTGCAATGGTTGAGAAACTAGTTTAAAACTAACATGTTGCATTTACAATAACCCCTTTAACATGTATTTTCTAACCATAAACATGGAGTACCAGAATAGTGTGTGTAGACATTCGACACCAGAATGATATATACTGCATTTGTCAATGTCTGTCTTTCCCATGGCACTGGTTCCCAGTCCCAAGAACTGCTAAGCGTCTGATAACTGTGGAGTCATGTCCCTAAACACCCTGTTAAAAAGTATACAAATACTGTACATACTAATTTTCTCTTATGAACAAAGACCCTCTGATTTTCAGTTTGCATTCAAGACTGGCTACGCAACAACACTGTGCAGCTTATTGGTAACGGAAACTTCTCAGTGTTACAACTCACAATGCAGTTCTGTTTCTCTCTCTCTCCTCTCCTCTCTCTGTTTTTCAATGCATCCAAAGCATTTGACAATTGAACATACTGTACCAAGCTCTTTAGAGTATCAAAATATGGAAACATCTGTCCTATAGCTACTATATTTTATTTATTTATATAATTTAAGTAAATAATAAATCCAGTTCAGTAAAGTTGCAGTGAAATGGAGTCATGTTCAATGCATATATTTTCCTGGATAATGGTGTCACAAAAGTAGTTGTGGTCCTTAATCACTTGCTGTCTGTCTTGATGCTCTGCTGAAAGAGTTGAGGGACAAGAGATTAGGCTGCTGTCACCTGGCAGTTTAAGGCAGATGTTTTCTGCTATACTGCTGCTCTAGCTTTGCTTGCACCTCCCAAAGATGCTATGCTGTAAATGATAGAATTGAGAGATGTTGAAAACCTAACTTTCAATCCTATTAAATATGCTTTAACACACACAGGACTCGCATTATCTTGATATGAATATTGTGTTAGAACGTTCATGGTAAATACTCTAGAAATGATCTAGGTCATCTATCAAACTAAAGAGTTCACTTGTCATCTGTCCCTACGGCACATGGGACTTAAAAACTCTCAATGAATGTTTAGAGAATTTAAACGCCTGGTGTACCGTTATTTAATTGTGCCTCGGGCTCGTGTGGATGTGAATTATGGAACTTGCCAGATAGTGACCTGTGCAAGCTGGGTCACCATAATGAGCAAGAACAGCAGCATTAGAAAAACTTCAGTTCACACAGGCCCCCCTTTTTTTTTCTTGCTAGAAATGTGTACATTCACGAATCTCGGAAATACCAAGCTGGGGGTTGTGGTAATGAAAATAGTATACCCAATTTCTGAGGAAAGTAATGGGTATGAAAGTAATTAACCCTATTTAGAAACTATTTTATTGAGGAATTATCGAGATAAGACTGTTAATCTGCAAATCTAAATTCTGCAGTTTAGATATACATACTCAATGTAAGTGTTGTGCACAATGTAGATTGTAAAAGTAAATATAAATTATGTCAGTAGAAAGAGGTGTGAACACAGCATTTTATATTGCTTACACTAATTGTTACACTAATTACTATTTTGAGAGTATCTGGTGTAATATTTTTTTTTATAAATACAAATTAGTCTCTTGTTTTATAGGTTATATAAAATAACTAATTTTAGATTTATATTTAGTTTATAGCTATATAAAAGTATAGTTTTATATGTTCATACCAGTTTTCATCATGAAAAGCTCATGTATAAGGTCTGAATTAAGCAATTGTATTGTGTTGTCTTGAAAAGGGAACACAATGTATGAACTTCAGACTTTGTTCTAATGCTGTCATTCATGCTCCTGAAGTTGTGAATGAATTGAGGTAGCTCCCTAGATTTTGGCTTGGAGGGCTTTTCATTTGTGTGTGTGTGTGTATGGAGGGGGAGGGGGGTGCACATGCCTGTGACATCCTCGAACATGTGATTTTAAGTTCTCTTTAGCATCCTGTTGCACATGTCACTTTATACAGTTGTAATTATGTTCTTCAATACAGCACATGCAAAAACATGACTAGGCTGCAAGAGTGTACAAGTGTCTGAGATGCCGTTTATTTATTCCGGACATGTGTATACAGTACTGGGTACTGTCCGGTTGCAGGCATTTTGCATTTTATGTTTTTAGCTTTTTCTTCGTTTAGCAATGCTTGCATGACGCTTTCCACTTTTCATTTCTTTGTGATTTCATTATTAAGCATTTCTTTCCCATTATCAATCTTGTTAAACATGGACCTTAAACCCACGGCTTATTCGGCCACGTCCTGTGCATCTCTTGTGCAAGTGTTCAAGAATTTGAACTACGTACATTCCTAGTTCATTTGGAATATTATCCACTTGCATATATTATTGTAACCTTTTCTATTGTGCTTGGCTCATTACCTTGCTGATTGTCATTCAATTTAAAGAAGCTTTAAATGCAAGAAATGCCAGTGTGTTTGTGATGTGGACATTGTCATTGTTATCTTGAGTTATCTTGAGATGATTTCGGGGCTTTAGTGTCCTCGCGGCCCGGTCCTCGACTAGGCCTCCACCCCCAGGAAGCAGCCTGTGACAGCTGAGTAACACCCAGGTACCTATTTTACTGCTAGGTAACAGGGGCATAGGGTGAAAGAAACTCGACCCATTGTTTCTCGCCGGCGCCTGGGATCGAACCCAGGACCACAAGTCCAGTGTGCTGTCCGCTCGGCCGACCGGCTCCATCAGGACAAATAGTTCACAATCCTGAGAATACTAGGAAATAGTGACCAGAGTTTTGCTAGATTTTATATCGTTTTTCAGAAAGGCTGTTGCGAGGTTGGAAGCACAGTCCATCAAATTTGTGATAAGATTCAGATGTTACAAACAAAATCAAATACAAAATAATAGTGTGAGTATCCAATTTTGCAATAAAATTATGAATACGTAGGAATCTGAATAAAATAGGGAAATAAATTTGTATGTGTTGCTTTGAAATGGGTAATGTTAAGGTTGATTATAGAGGCCTGCTTGTTATCAAATGGGTGGCTTCGGAGTTGGACTTTTTCTTCTGAAGTTCCATTGCTTCCCAGTTCATTAGCGTAAGGTGTCCCAATTTTGTTTTCTCCCTAATTTTGGGTGCTACAACTGGGAATTTTAAATTGTTGAATGGTCAGTTCTACTAATTACTATACATAGTATGGTTCATTATTTTTTTTTATTTTTTTTTTTTACAATTTACACATTACAATTTTGCAATACCTTTGCATAGTTTAAATGGTTTGCTTTGAATGTAGACTTCGAAGCTCTGGTATTATTTAACTGCTGATTTATTCCAAGTGTCATAATCACCTGCTAAATACATTGCTGTTCCTCCATTGTTATACTTACATTAACCAGCATGAACTTGGACTTCAAAAAGGCTTAACTATGAATTAGTATCACCAAGGTGATAAAGAGGTCAGTTTTGGAGATAAATAAATCAATCAATTTTGGAGACGACATAATGCTTGTGAAGGTACTAGATAAAGGGATAGTTTTAAGGCAGTTGTCTTGTTGGCGTTTACTCGTATAGTCTATAGTCCAAGATGCATACAGGAAGCTCTATAACGTACTGGCCTAGTGTTTTAGCAAGTATTGGGTGGTGGTGTGTGTGTGTGTGTGTGTGTGTGTGTGTGTGTGTGTGTGTGTGTGTGTGTGTGTGTGTGTGTGTGTGTGCACGCGCGCACATCCCTATTGTTATTATTTGGGGAGGGGGGTCTGCTCTCGCTACACTGGCGAGTAAAGGGGTCTGCTGCTTTTCACCGCCACCTTCACCCTCGTCCATGCCCATAAACCGTTTTTCAGTTGTCTTATTTTATCCTGTTGGTTTTTGTCTCTTCCAACTTTTGCACTTGGGATGGACTTATTCCAAGTGCTCAATCAGCACTTTTTTTTCGTTTTTTTTTTTTTTTTAATGGAAGTAAATGGTGACTGACTTGTATGATTGCAATATCAGCATGCAGAATTATTTGATGTTTCAGGTGTTCATTCTTGGTTATGTTAATGATCTCTCTTGCCATCCCCACAGAGGGGACAAGGCATCACGGAAAGTTTGGAATAACTAATACACAATTGCTGATGGGAGATCACACTATGAAAATGTAAAGTTTTGCTTAACATTAAACCAAAATGGAATTTTATTAAAGAAGTTATTTCAATTCTTGATTTGGGCAATTTTCATGTCATTACCTCGATAGGCATTGATTACAAGTTATATTAATTTGTATTATTTTTCCCCGACAGCATAACACAACCACCAGCAGTCAAATTGGCCCAGTTAAACCGGCATTTCCAGCATATAGTCAAGCTAACGGTCAGTCTGTTCCCAACAACCAGTCTTCAGGTATTAACAGTGGATCCCAAGACAAGATGGAGCCCAAGAAACCTGCACTAATAACTACGGTGTCTGCCAACTCCCGTATTATACACCCAGAGGAGGACATCTCTCTGGTATGTGGGTGGGGGGAGGGAAAGATCTTATCGACATCTTTTCTCACGGTGATGCTTACAATCTCTAATTAGCTAATTTAAGCTACAGTAGAGTATTTTGACTTCTTAGGGGAATAGTGTGTGTGTTGCTATGTACTAACTCCAGTAAATCGGGTAATAAAGATTAGTATTATCAGACGTGTCATAATCCAGGTTGCAAATTTTACTGGCTAGATAAAGGCAGTGTCTTTATTACCTGATCTGTTCCATGCTGCTGCTAGTGCACGTTATAATCAGTTGGAGATATATACTCACTAATGCCTCAATTCATCTGTAGCACTTGAGTGAGAATGAGTATTGGCATTGTTTGTCACCAGTGGTAATGCCGTTGTGGTCATGTCGGGAATGCACTCGTCTACCAACTAAACAGTAAAGGCTCTACCTCCAGCAATGGGGCAGAGTTGTATATAGTGCTGTTTGATCTTGGTATAATATATGCTTTGCTGGATATTTGCCTCTTACAAAAGGTATTAAATAGCTGATTTCTCCATGCCCAGGGGGGGTTTTATGCCACATTTGTCTTCCCATTTTTCAAAAGCAACCAAGGCTTTAGGTTTTGCGTTCACTCTGGTCACGTCAGAAGAAAGGCCACAACATTCCCAGTGTTGAAGAATTCAGGCTTGTGTGAGGTATTTGTTGGGTGTATTTGTTCATTAGTATTGTTTCAGATATTGAACATTTTTCCTCTTAGTGGTAATTATGGTAATGTTTAGTTTGTGTGTGTTTATCATTTATATCAGGTGATATATGAGGGTGGGATTAAAAAAAAAAAAAGGATTATTTTGTTATCATAGTCATGGTCATATTCTTAAAATATATTTGCAGTGGTCAGTTAGAAGATTTGAAGTAGCTGCTTTGTTTAAATTTTGTTTAACTTCTTGTCAAAAGTTCCTGAAAATAATTTTGGTCTTTGTTTTTATTTCAGTATAATTGCAAGTAGTGTTGTTTAATTATGTATAGGTACGTGCCAAATGCCTAACTGATTGATCGACTTCTCAGTGACACTTAAATCAGATTTCACCTTGAGGTGGAAGTATTTTTTGTTGATAGTATAACTAGCCATATCATATGACCATGAAAATTATCATTTGTGGAGATTTAACTTATTTGGTTAATTTGGAGATTTGGATTATATTTGATGGTTGTGAAGTAAATGCTTTAGAAGTTAGTTTTAAGCCATTAAAAGTCAGATATAACTGGTGATATTTGCAAAAAAAGGGGGTTACATGTTTTCAGCTTGGAGCATGTAGCACAGCTGTTTATACTGTATAGGGGGAGGAGGTCAGAAACATTTCTTAACGGTGAAGATGATATATTTTTGTGTAGATTTGTTTGCTTTTGTGCTGGATGTGAAATCCTGTTAAATAAATTCAGGCCAAATTTCATACTGTATGCCATATATATAATTGTTAGTTTTTCTTTGAGGTTTAATTAAGGGAGATAAAAGTGGGTTGTGATGTGGAAGTGAATGTATTGGTTGGCAGTGAATTATAATTTACAAGGAACACTGTAAATATGGTTTTATGAAGCTTTGGGTGGTGGATGTCTGCTAGAGTGTGGTGCTTGCTGATCCATGTTACTATTTTTATGAATTTCATAGTGTGTGAAGATTTTTTTTCCGAGCGTAAGCAAAATATACCATGTGCACCACAGTGTATAGGATTGTTGGTCAACAGTGTTAATTTGCTGAGCTGTTTAAGGATTATATGAGGAACAGAAGAAACTGGAGATAAGTGTTGAGAAAGTGAACGAAATATCTGAAGGATTTTTAGATTACACGTTTGTGAAAGGGCGATTGTACCTCATAAGGATTCAAGGGGAAAAAGTACAAAATGTTAAGATATTAGGTGAGAGCATTGGTAGTTATATACTGTAAGTAACAAGTTAATCATGGAGGCTGGAGAAAGCCTCTGGATAAATGAACCTTAGTCCTGTGTTTTGTGTATCTGCAGTGTGCTTGATAAAGGCGGTCAAAATTAGTGTGTAGAGTTGCACAAACTGATAGTGATAGTAGTAGTAGTACAGAAGTTGCTCGGTGAAGTGAAGTGGCTCGAGCAGTTGATGATGACTGCAAATGTTAACTGAAAGTTTAATTTAGATTGTGATAGATTTTGTAGACTGCTCTCAGGCAGTCATATATATAATGCAAAGACATTCACTCTTACATGTACACTATATCCACCCAGCTTTGTGTCTGGTCACATCCTGTACATTGTTTACGCTCGCTTGCCATGTCCTCTCACGCAGTTGCCGTGCACTCCCATTGTCGTGGCCTTTCTCAGCTCCTCACATTCTGCCAAGTTGTGCAGATTTAGGGATTCTTTATATAAAATCTAATGTTGATACAGTTTATCTGGTGGGAATTTATACATGTATGTAGAGGAGTTCAAAAACTTTGTTGATGTGTGAGAAGACTGATGGATGAGTGTGGTCAGAATAAGTGTGTAGGAGAATGAAAACTATGTGAAATAGAAAAGGTCATAATTTTAAAGTCTTTGGTCTTTAAATCGTGAGAGTAATAAAACTTGTACAAGAGTAATGGAGCAAATCAGGGATGAAAAATTGAGTGCAGCAAGTGTGAAATTCCAAGATGTGGCTGTATGAGGATGTGGGAGTGCCTATCCTCTGCTTTGTATCATCTGAAGATACTGGTACTGCAAAGAGTATGACTAGATTTAGATTTAGAACAATAGAATAAGATGAATATGTTGTGTAAGGAGTATAAACAATGGACAAGTGTAGAGTGCAAAATAATTGTAAATTATAAGAAGGATAAAAATGCAATATGATTTGGTCATGATGAATGGATGGTGGTAATAAGTGCAAGTCTGTGAGGAAGTGGGGATTGAGTGTAGAGAGTGCACAAGATGGTTATGAGTAAGATTGAGTTTGGTGATGGCATGTGTGTGTTTGCTTTACAGTAAAGTATTTTAAATAATTGCCATTAAGCCCTCTTGTGCAGTTGTGTAAATCGATAGGGCACTGGTGCGGAGGATTTTTTTTCCTGTGTGACAGTGCCGAGGCATTTTCGAGTTGTACTGTAGATTGGGTGAATGAATTCTGTTGTCTTTATGAATCTTTCTCTATATTAATCTCTTATCTAGGTTAATCTTCTAAGAAAGGCAAATTAAATCAGTATGTAGACAATGAGTCACAATAACATGGCTGAAGATATGATGACCAAACCACATATTAAAGAATGGAGAAACAATGATGATTCGGTTCGTCCTGGACCATTATGGACTTAAGCCATAATGGTCCCTCCCTCCCCCCCCCTACCTCCCCTCCATACCTTTTCTTACCTTTTATCCTATTCCTACCTTTCACCTTACTCTTGTCTTTTTCTTACCTGCTCCTCGGAACTCTCGTCTCGCTTTCCTTATTAATTTGCTCGTACCTTCATCTCTTCTGTCACACATGACAATGATCTAGGGTGGACCAAATCGTTGTTGTTTTTCCATTTTCTGATGTGTGGTTTGGTCATCAAATTAAATCAGACCTCTTGGCCCATCTAGGTTACCAATTATGGACTTGTGTTTCATGTGCATGTTTCTAGATGTTTATTTTTAATGTATTAACAAAGGGTTTTGCTGTACTAGAAGAAACAAATAATTCCAAAATATATGGCTTGTCCTAATATTTTAGAAGTGCATTTACTCAGAATTGACAACGTGGAGCCAATTTGCTTAAACCAGTTGAAAATTGGCTGTCAAATTTTGTTTACCCTTCATTTGGCATGTATTTTCCCCGCTTATGTTTAATGTGGTTGGAGTTCTGTAGGGTTGATTTAAATTTAATTTCTTTGACATTTGTCTATCACAAAATTTAGCTGATGAGTCATAGGAAGCTCATAGGAAGCCAAATCAATCAATCAAATCATCTCGAGAGGAAGCCAAATTTTTACTCTTGAAATGTTTACCAGAATGTTTAACGAGCTGTAGTGAGAGAATGAATGCTGTCGGTAAGGTTTGAAAAAAAGATTCTGAAGTTTTTGTCTTGTATGGTTTTGCATGATGTATGGCAGGTAGGATCAAGTTATGGCAAGCTGTTGATCTTAAAGTCTAACCCGAAATGCTTTAGATTATTGACTTTATCTTGTAAGTAGTGTTTGGGGCCTCCTCCTATCAGTTTTAACACATTTGGCTCATGAATTGTTCATGTCCGTGGTGCATGGTGAAGCATCAGTATTGTCCAAGTTATTGTGGTAAATACAACTACTCCTTAGTGTGTATACAAATGGCAACTGCATTTATGTATATATAAATATGTATACATGGTTTATATATACATACATGTGTAATAATGTTTATTTTCTGTATTAGTATCATGTTGCTTTAAACTTTTTATTTATTTTTTTTCAAGTTGAATAAATTGGAATTGTTAAATTATTTTTCACTTGTAAAAATTCTGCTTCATGTGTAGTAGAATGTGGACATTTAAGTTTATTGAAAGTGTTGTAATTTCCTCAATAACCTGGCTTAATTCAGAGAGAGAGGGAGAGAGTAGGGTGTCTCCACCACTCGTTCAAATCTTTCCCTCTCTTTTGTCTCTCTCTCCTTGGGATTAACAGGTGATTTTGGGCTTTCAGCTGCTCGCAGACTGTCCACACACCCCGGCCAACACAAACATATTGTTCATTTATTTATTTATTTTTATTTATTTTTAATGCTAGACTAGTTGCAGAAGTAGGAAGCCAGGACTGGAAGTACAGTGAGCAGTAGTCAGGTAATGTGAAGAATAGCAAGATTTATTATTGTCAAGACGTATAGTGTGTCTTGAATAACAAAAGGTGTGATCCCATGTTGTTATTTACGTTAAGGAAGTCACATCGGTGAATTTATTTCTCTGCGATGAAATTACTGTACAGAAATAAGCTTTGGCTTTTTGTGGGCGAGCTGCATTTTCTCAAATTTGACCGTGACAAGAGAGTCTTGGTGTAGATTTTTTACCGTTTATATTTGTCTTTCAGTTTAGAGAGGTTTTTCTAGCTCAAATGGTAATTTTTTGCGTTAATTATTTTTCAAAGTGGATAAAACGGTTCTATCTATGTCTTACTCAGTGCTGGAAAAGATGGACAAAGTAACTCGGCACTGTATTATGGTAAATGTAAGAAAATATATATATATACTGTATATATATAATTCAAATGAAAAACTTATCAGTCCAATGATATTATCAGATATCAAAAACTTATCAGTCCCCAGTTTATGTAAATACCAGCAAAATAAATTGTTCTGAAATTAATTTAGTCCTGCATTTCTATATGCAATTTTAATCAGAGTAGTTTTTTGTTTCTATAGAGTGTAAGTGCTCAGAAGACTCAATTCATGCTAGCATCCCCCCACCCCCTTGGCAAACAACTTGATTTATTTCAGGGTAAATCAATGTCTGCTACTTTATGGTCAAAGTTATTGTTTTCTTCTAGTTAAGACAGTTGAAGATTATTTATGCATAGAAAAAGACAATTTTTATATACTGTACGGTATTTTTTCTGCTCGAGTTTTTGGCACCACATTGCCAGCACATTACTACTTGGCCAGAACTGTTTTATGTTTGCCTCATTGTGTGGTGGTCTTCTACTAGATCATCTGTGAAAGCAGTCATACCACTTACAGTACCTGTAATGCAAAGCTTTTTAGATGTTAAGAAAGGGGACTTGTATAATCTTTGCGTTTCCAGTTTTGTCGTCGTCTTGCCTTTGATGGATGGATATACAATAGTGATGCTGTTAAGAGGCTTGGGAATATTACCAAACACTGTAATACCGTATAGGTTTTACGGATAAAAGTTCTCTGTGAACATGACGGTGAAGGATAATTATTTATTGTGTAACCTAGGAAAAAATACTCAAAATTGAAGCAATTTGATTATCAGTTGCATTAAAAAAATAAAATTAGCTGTCTTTTCAAGATGGTCAAAACCTTAACATTGAAGTCCTGGGCATAGTGCACTCGGGCACCAAACTTTAACTCCGTTGATTGATAACCACCCAGCAATAAACTAGAAACCTAGGTATAAAATGATTGACCATAAATAATTAATCTGAAAAGAGTCAAATTGAATAGTTTAATTTTCAAGTTTGTGCACCTAGTTAATTTTGCATATGAATAGTATGAAAATTTAAATAATTCCAAATATTTTTGGGGAATATAAATTTTTAGTTATACAGTATAATACTGTTGCACATTTAAAGTACTGTACTAGCATACATTATTTAATAGCATGGGATCATAATTCCGTCAATACTTTAGTAGGCAAAAGACACGTCAGAGACAAAGGTAAGGCTGCCAGTTTTAGAAAGGTAAGTTTTTATTGTTAAACTTATGTAAAGTACATTCTCAGTAGTGACACTTATTTGAGTACTTAATAAGGAATAAGTTTTAATCTGTCCGAAATGGGAAATTAGTATACATGTAAAATTGAGCTTGCTCATTTTTACATTTTGGTTCACGGGTTGTATTTTGTTTTGAGTGGAAAAATTTAACACTAGCTTGATTCTTTTTGTGTGTGGATTAGATAGGGAATAGCTAACTGGGATAAGGGAAAAAGAGTTTTGTTGTGTTGGCTGGTGGTGGGAGTGTGATGGGAGCGTGGTGGCAGCATGGGTTGTGGTGGGGCTGTACTGTGTTCACGTGTCTCCCTCTCACCCTCACGTAGGAAGAGAAGCGGGCAGGTATGCCTCGGTACCAGTTGGCTCCCCGAGCCTCCCCACAAAGGGCCCGGGCTCCTGCCCCGGCTCCACCCCCCCAGCGCGTGGAGTCTCCACCCGTGAGTACTGCACCTTCACGCCTCTCTCAACTTGTGCCTGCCTGCCTGGACCATTTCTACCCACCGGCGATGTGTTTAGACACACAGGTGCAACCCGCCTCTACTGTGTCATTGCCAGACCTGGATTATTTTATATACAATAGGATCAGCCACTTCACAACTGCTGTCAAGATCAACATTTGAAATCTAAAATCACACTTAAGCGGTAAGAGCTGAATAAGTCATCAGTTTGTGTTTGTTTCCAGGAGGAGCGTCGAATGAAGATGGCGCGTTACAACCAAGTCAGTGCTGCTGCTGCAGCAATGGCTATGAGTGGGATGATGTCCCATCATGCAGGGGTGCGGCCCGCTCACCCTGGTGTGGTGGTCGAGGCCCCCCCTATGGTATCAACCATAGGTCCCACTATGGTAACCACCATGTCACCAGCTATGGTGCCTACTGGGCACATGGCCATACCGGTATCTCTTCCAGCCATTATGCGGCCGAACATGCAACCAATAATGACTCAGCCCATAATGTCACCTGCAGTTGCTACGATGCCCACTGGCATGCCCCCCCTCCCATTAGGAGGTATGAGACCACCCCTAGGTCTACCACAAGGTAAGTAATCTTTATCTTGAATTGTGCTTGATCCTTTAATATCCCCCTGAGCATCGGTGAGTATGTCAGTTCCCCGAGACCTTGTCGGCAGCTCATCCAACACAATCCTCTTTGGTCTTTAACAAATGTTTGGATAAAACACTTGTATGATTAATGCGTTTAAATAATTTATATAGTTACAATTCTCGGTTGAATGCCTTGAGAGTGCATTAACGTTTTAATGCCTTGTTTAAGATTAAGAAATGTGTTAACAATAATAAAATTGATTGGTTAAAAATAATGTAATTTTCATAGTTTGGTCAGTATTTAGTTCTATTTCAGGGGGGTAAAGGGGTCGAGACGGCATTATGCTAATTTCAAGGAGGTTGGACTAAGGGGTTATGCCTGTTAAGACAGTTTTACCTACGAAATATCTTGGATACAATTATAATTATTTTATAGGATAATAAATATGAAGTATTTTGTATATTAAAAATTTCAGTTCATAATATACCATTTGTACCACCATCTAAGCCTCGCCCCCTACCCCTTCCTCCGTCACGTAAACCTGGCCACCCCCCTTACCTTCACATAAACCTGGCCACCCCCCCTTACCTTCACATAAACCTGGCCACCCCCCCCTTATCTTCACATAAACCTGGCCACCCCCCCTTACCTTCACATAAACCTGGCCACCCCTCTTATCTTCACATAAACCTGGCCATCTCCCTTACCTTCACATAAACCTGGCCCCTCCCTTATCTTCACATAAACCTGGCCCCTCCCTTATCTTCACATAAACCTGGCCCCCCCCCTTATCTTCACATAAACCTGGCCCCCCCCCCTTACCTCCACATAAACCTGGCCCCCCCCTTACCTCCACATAAACCTGGCCCCCCCCTTACCTTCACATAAACCTGGCCGCCACCCCTTACCTTCACATAAACCTGGCCCCCCCCCTTACCTTCACATAAACCTGGCCCCCCCCCTTACCTTCACATAAACCTGGCCACCCCCCTTACCTTCACATAAACCTGGCCACCCCCCCCCCCTTATCTTCACATAAACCTGGCCCCCCCCTTACCTCCACATAAACCTGGCCACCTCCCTTACCTTCACATAAACCTGGCCCCCCCCTTATCTTCACATAAACCTGGCCCCCCCCTTACCTCCACATAAACCTGGCCACCCCCCTTACCTTCACATAAACCTGGCCCCCCCCTTACCTTCACATAAACCTGGCCACCCCCCTTATCTTCACATAAACCTGGCCCCCCCCCTTACCTTCACATAAACCTGGCCACCCCCCTTACCTTCACATAAACCTGGCCACCCCCCTTACCTTCACATAAACCTGGCCCCCCCCTTACCTTCACATAAACCTGGCCACCCCCCTTACCTTCACATAAACCTGGCCCCCCCTTATCTTCACATAAACCTGGCCACCCCCCTTACCTTCACATAAACCTGGCCATCCCCCTTACCTTCACATAAACCTGGCCACCCCCCCTTACCTTCACATAAACCTGGCCATCCCCCTTATCTTCACATAAACCTGGCCACCCCCCCTTACCTTCACATAAACCTGGCCACCCCCCCTTACCTTCACATAAACCTGGCCACCCCCCTTACCTTCACATAAACCTGGCCACCCCCCTTATCTTTACTTAAACCTGGCCACCCCCCTTATCTTCACATAAACCTGGCCACCCCCCCTTATCTTCACATAAACCTGGCCACCCCCCTTACCTTCACATAAACCTGGCCACCCCCCCCCCTTACCTTCACATAAACCTGGCCACCCCCCCCCCCTTACCTTCACATAAACCTGGCCACCCCCCCCCCTTACCTTCACATAAACCTGGCCACCCCCCCTTACCTTCACATAAACCTGGCCACCCCCCCCCCTTACCTTCACATAAACCTGGCCACCCCTTACATGGAAATTGGGCGGGGGCTGACAGGTGAGGTATGACAGCGCTTTGGATTTGTAGTCCTGAGGTTCCGGGTTCGATCCCCGGTGGAGGTGGAAACAAATGGGCAGAGTTTCTTTCTGCTGCTCTGTTCCTGTTACCTAGCAGTAAATAGGTACCTGGGAGTTAGACAGCTGCTACAGGCTGCTTCCTGGTGTGGGGGGGGGGGGGGGGGTAAGAAAAAGGAGGCCTGGTCGAGGACCGGGCCACGGGTACGCTAAGCCGCGAAATCATCTCAAGATATATCTTGAGGTTAAACCTCAAAGTTATTCTTTGTGGAAGTTTGAAGGAAACATTTCAGGGGGAGGGGGGAGATTGCATTGTAGATGTTCAGGCCTTTTTGGGAAAGCAAAAATTTGTAAGAAAAAGGTAGCAGTTGAAGTTTATAGATAAGGGTGTGAAATGTTTGTAGTGAATTTGAGATTTGTTTAACCTTGTGAAAGTGTTTAGGTGTATGGGGAAAAAAGAGCCTGTTCACAGAAGTCAAATTGTTAGTGGTGGGTAGCCTTTTTTTTTTATTATACAATAACAAGAAAAACCTTGTTCTTTTCTCCCCACTCACCTAGCAGCCATGTTTTCTCCTCCTCCCCCCCCCCCCCTTCCTTCCTTGCCTTGTTTCCTCTCCCCCTTTCAGCCTTGTTCCCACCCACTTGCCCATGTCCCCCTAGCCCCATTTCTAATTCCTGCGCCCCCCCCCCCCTCCAACCCTGTATCTCGGCCCCGTTTCTCGCTCCCCATCTTGGTCTCGTTCCCGGCTTCTCTCCCTTCCTCCCCCCTCCGTTCCTTTGGCATTGTTTTTCCCACTTGTCTATGTCACACCTTTGATGCCTCCTACACTCCTCACCCCCTGCCTGTTATCCCTGCTCCTTGGTCACCCCTGCTCTCTTTGTACTATACTAAAGTCATTTTTGCTTTATTGGCCATCCTCTGCTCATCCTCCTTCCCCATTTTCTTTGCCTCCCTTTCCTGCTCCTTATTCTTGGCTGCTCTCTTCTTCCTCCCCTGTGGGCGTTACCCTCTGATTTGGCAAGCCTCTCCTCGCCGCTCTCTGACCGTTCAGTTTGCACCTTTGCATCTTGCGGGATTAGTTTTCGATCCTCGATGGCTCAAGCGACGTGGCAGTGAAGTTTCGTGTCCTCGTATCGTGCAGTGTTTAGCCAGTCTTTATGTCCTTTCAAAGTTCTCTGTGCTTTTATAGTTTTAGCAATTTCTTCTGGTGACTTGCCTATTCTTCATTCATACTCCATGGCTCCACATCCACACTCCTCCTCCTCATCCTGCTGTCTTTGGTTATAGTCCCCCTTCCCTCTTACTCTCCAGTGTTCTTGGCCACATCTCCCCACCCCCTCTCCTCTTGGCCATACCTCCCCCACCCTCTCTTGGCCACACCTCCCCCCCACCCCCCTCTCCTCATGGTCACACCTACCTCCCCCACCTACCCCTCACCCCACCTATCCCTCCCTTCCTGCTCTTGGACACACCTCCCCCCTTCCTACCCCTCCCCTCATGCACTTTGTCCCCCCCCCCCCCCATCCTTGGTCATCACCCACCCCCCACCCTTCACTCTCCCTCCAGCTGTTAGTGACATCCTGTCTCACTTTTGGGGACTTCTCTTCTTTCCATCCCTCCCTTCACCCTCTTGGCAACTTCCCACATGTACAGTTCTCTTTTGGATCTGCTGCACCCTCTTACCATCTCGTAGCAATCTATTCCTCCCTTCCTAATCTGTTCCCACACAACACACGCACGTGCCTTGGGCCAGATTCACGAAGCGGTTATGCAAGTACTTACGAACGTGTACATCTTTCCTCAATATTTGATGACTTTGGTTACATTTAATAAACAGTTTGCGAACATTAAAACTTGCCAATCAAGTGTTGTTATTGTTATACACAGCCTCCTGGTGCTTCGGAGCTCATTAACTGTTTAATAATTGTGAACAAAGCCGCCAAAGATTGAGAAAAGATGTGCAGGTTCGTAAGTGCTTGTGTAACTGCTTCGGTAATCTGGCCCGTTATATTTTGCAGCCACCTTCCATTTTGGTAGCTCCGTTCTCACTGTTTTGAGTAACAGTTTTTGTACTCCTTTGGTTGCTACTATAATATATTGGAGTTACACACAGAAATCACAATAACGTGATGCATCAATGAACAAATCCAGTAAGTTCAGTAGAACTTCGGTTTCAACTCTCTTTCCATGACGTATCTCAGTCGATTACGGCAGTGTCTGGGATGATCTCGGCCGTAGGTTCGAATCCTCGTCACGGCCCTTGTGGATTTGTTCATATATTGGACTTGTTTTGGTCTGTACCGTGACTATACGGGGAAGTCTTGCGCCAGTTTGGGTTGCCTAGTCAAATGCAAGCTTGGGATGAGTTGAGATGAAAAATAACTTCGTTTTTAAAGTTCTTGCCAAAACATACTGAAAGATAAACGAAAACTCCAGCTCAGATGAGTACTATGTAGACTTCCGTTGGTTATGCTCATCAGACTGCAGTCACAGATATGCGTATTCTTCTCTAATGTAAATATTGAAAGCGGAATTTTTGTTTGGATATGGAGAAAGAGAGAGAGAGAGAAATTCTTATTGCTCTTTACATTCATATATATATATTTATATATTTTAGATTGCATGGATTACTTACTTTTGGGGGTTAAATTGTAATTAATTAAAGGCTGAAACTTACTCCATCCTTAGTTAGCTTGCCAATGTATATAATAATTTTTGAGGGTGTAAATGGCTGCTGCAGGTGTCAAGAGGTGTTCTGGCCATGTGTGGTATAATGATGCTCTTACATTGTTAGTTTTTACTTTGATATGCACATTGAAACTTAGATTTAGATATGATTGAAGCACGATTTGCACTCATTGTCTATAATTAATTTAAATGCTGTGATAGAACTCACCTTCCTATTTGGGCTCACTTTCCTGTAATGTTCCTTAGAATGCTAGCTGTATTTTATGTAATAAGAAAATGTGATGTTAAACCAATTAGTTTGCCTTGGGATGATGGATAATCTTTTAGGATAGACTAATTAATTTAGTGTGTTGGTTAACTATTTCAGCTCTGCCTGGTCATGGGCAAATGGCCCCCGGGTTAGCTGGTCCACCAATGATGGGTGCCCCCATGATGGGAGGGCCTCATATGATTCCACGCTTCAGGTGACCACCAGGCCTCGGTATGTAGCCAGCAGGTAGGAAGCAACAGGATGGGCAGCGGCAGGTCGGCGCTGGTGAGGCAACGTACGCATGCCTTCATCATGACTGGTAGTCAGCCTCCTCACCGACCCTCCCTCGCTCGCTCGCTCGCTAAGCACACTAGCGCAGTCGGTCAGTCACTAAGTTGACCTGTGGGGCAAAACCAACACACACGTGGGACTATCCAAGATGAATCTGCTGTCTCCATTATCTGCATTATAGGAAAGAATTCTCAAACACCACTCATGCAAAAAGATTTAGCCATGTCCACTTCTAGGTAAAGTTGAGATAGGAATAATTCCAATGAATTAGAGGATAGGGACACGAATTTATATCCCATGAGTGATGTTTTTGTGTGGTAGAGTTTTTTAATTTAATCTTAATATCAAAAAGCTAACAAACATGTTGACAAAACAATGTTGAAATTGTAGTGGGTCCCTAACACTTGTTGGTTTTCCATCACAGTTCGGTTAGTCCTGTGTGGACAAGCTAACATTGCATCATTTTGCAGCAAGCATCTGTTATCATCTGTTATTGACTTCTTTGTCTCATTTTTTTTTTTTTTATCATTGCTCTGATCAGTGTTGAAATGTTTATCCACGAGACTGTCGTTTGTGTGCCGCCCACGTGGAATTAAGTTTGAGCAAGTGGTGCTTGTATACTTGCTTCTTGGGACCTACACTTGATTGTATGTATTTATACTCTGATCCAGCTCAAGTGGGCAAGAGGTGGCTCTCTCAAGTCCAACATCTGTGTGTTTCCCCTCAATGACTTATTGTATTCCAAGCCTTAGTAATCACTATGATTAATTTGCTGGAGATGAGTCGATTAGTGCAGATGTTGCTTGGGGGAGTTTGGTTCTGGCAGTAACTTGGGCTGGGATGGAGGATGCAGGCTCGACTGTTCTATTCTTGGAGCGTTTAAGCACCTGTATTATAGTGTTTTTAGGTTTCATCATTCTTTTTTGAGTGATAATTGTGTATTTGTGAATTTTTCTCTTTAAGGTAAGAAACTGTTTAGTTTATAAGGTAAGAAGCTGTTTAGTTTAGAAATGGTAGTTCTTCACAAAAGCACTGTTGGAATTTTATCCTACCTATACAGATGTTAACAGCAGGTTAGTCCATTTATATAATTTTTTTGCAAGTTGTACAAATGAATTTGTAAATTGTTGAAAGGGAGATCCCATTAGCAGCCGTAAGTACTTTTTTGTATTTATCAGTCACGTTATTGCTACCAGGAATCTAGTGACTTACACTATCAGCTTTGTTAAAAATGATGATCACCTGTTTATTATTGTATGTTGTGAAATAAATACTAATTAAGTTGTCAATCTTGTATTAGTTTGTTTCAAGCTTCATATTTTGTTATAATGCATACAACATAAGAAATTATTTTCTTTGGATGAAAGTAATGGATTTTTTGTATTATTACTTGAAAGGGTGGAAGGAGTGGAGCATTCGAACATTGTGGAAATTCGCAACAGGTGAGCCCAAACGAGAGGACGCGAGGCTGGGAGAGATGAGAATTTATACCTTTTTGGTTTATCCGTCGAGTAATATGACGGTTGTACTTCTGTAATTGTTTTGGTAGAGCAGGTTTCTTGTCTCAGGATTTCCTTGTTTTAATCATTTAACACTCCTCATAAAGTTGTGGCATTATTATTATTATTTTTTTTTATGTAATTGTGGCCATTTTCTTTTCTCAAATTTGTTGCCAGGATATTCTGAGGGAGTTACTGTGTAAAGCCGAAACCTTTGCTGTAGTATTACTGTCAAGTCATCACTCTTCAGTGTGCATGGAAGTTTGTTACTTATCGTATTTCAGAATAACACTGGAACTGAATGGATTCTTAACCCATACTGGGTTTGTGCATGTAAGAGGTCATGTATCTTAAGGGTTAAAAACAAAAACAAAAATAAAAAGTGTGGAGCGCCTTAAGTATGTTAATGGCTGGCCACAATTGTAGAGGGCCAGGACATGGCAAGGTTAACCACCCTACTCTTATTGGCACTTTTGTATTGATCCTCTTTTTTTTTTTATTGTAGTCTTAAGTGTAATTGCCAGGGATTATTGAAATTGCGGTTCACCTGCTTTGATAGCTTCAATACTTAAATTGTAACTAAAAATTTATTTTGTTATTTTTATTTTAGATTTCTAACATCAAGATAAATTTAATTTTTTTGCACTTTTTTATTTCAACTTAGTTAAACCTAGGTCTTTCAAATTGGTTCATAACCAGAATTACATTTATTGTTATAGAAGCCTCAATACATTTCTTATTTTGTATATAGTGCTCCTGGTGGCTCGTGTATCATGCTCTTTATTTTTTTTTTTTTTAAGCGTTAAGATGAGAATATAAAAATGTATTAAGAATATTCTTCAGGTTGGTTAGCTGTGCCATGCTCCCTCTTGATTAACTAACCACTTGAGACATTCCAACGCACACGCCAGTGGTGAGACCAGTTTCCGTTTTCCCAGCTTGCAGCCTCTCTGGAGCCCTGTTATGTCTCCGCATGGCGCAGCCCGCTCTTGATTAGCTTGTTGGTGATGGTGAATCTGGGAAGTGAGGCCACATTCTCAGTTTTGGGGCCGACGAGTGACTCTCACCCACCGCACTCACTATTGCTACGCTGATACCTTTATCTGCCTTTTAGGGAGTGTGTGTGTGTTTATATGTATGAATGTGTTGTGGGTTTCATTGAAGTTTTTGTGTTAAATGTAAAATTGCTGGAATTTGTGTGTTCGATATATATATATATATATATATAAAGTAAATATTATGTAAGTTCTTTACAGATTGGCCAACTGGCTGTTCTAATGTGTTAGGAAGCTTAGTTGTGTGTGTGTTATAATACAGTATAATTTGTCAATTATTATATAGTATGTACATGTCAGATAGGGAGTAGTGGCAAATACTAGTGAAGTGAGTGTGGCTTGGGTGAGAACTACTCAGGCTGGCCATTTGCTCAGTAGCCCTAGAAGCCCCCAATATGAATGTGTTAAGTCTTCCAGCAGCCGCCAGGTAGGCTGAATTCACAGCACCAGGGGCTGTTGGGAGTCAGTCCCCCAACCGGACGTGGTTTGGTGATTCATTCACAGCCTGTCACGGTGCTGTTGGACCTATTAGTCCCCAGCCCCCTGAATTTGGGGGGCTTGGTGAATTCTCTCACACTACTACTCTGTGTCGTACTGTGTTAGGCATCACTGATGATCTAGGTTGGGCCCCAACCTCACACCCAACATATTGACTGTTAGTCAGCTTGTATTAAGCAGGCAAGTAGGGGTCATGAGGTGTGGGATGCTACTCAACCCAGAGATCCCGGATTGTAGCTGCGGTGGTGTTGAGAGGATAATCACCTGTACTTCCCCGGCCACACTTGTGACCACGCCCTCCAGAACTGTTTAAAGAAGGTACAGATTTTGTTTATTGATGGTGGTTGGGGAATGGCCAATCTTCAACATTTCTTCACTTGCTTTAAGAATGGTTTGAGCATGAGGGTCTAACTGGCAAACTTTGTAATGTAGAATTTAGTAGGTAAGAGCTCTTGCAATTTTACATCTAGTTTGTATGTTAGCACTGCAGTGCTCAAGCTTCTCTGTGACTTGGTGAGCTACTGTGGGCTATAGGCATATTTTAACTAGGTCTTCATGGGATAATGAAGCCTTGTGGATAGCCTTCTAGCGCATAGTGCTTCCCATCACGCTTGCACCTAAATTCCAAAGATTTTACAATACACTTTTTTTTTTCCCCCTTCAGGTCAGTCTGCTGCTTTTGTAATATAAAAGTTATTCTGTAACTGCAAAATCATCATGGAAACTATATAATTTTTTGTTGTAGACTGCATCATATTACCAAAGCTGGTAACAGCTTGTGCTGACTTACAATTTTCAAGCCATCTTTTTAAGTAGCCTTCAGTAACCATAAGAGCAGCAGGAGAATTAAATGAATAGTTTGTCTTGTAAAATTTAATGAAATTTAAAACTGTCTTCTTTGTCAGCATTCTTGATTAAACAAAGTATTTTACAATAAATAAAACAAAGTTGAAATGCCTTTTTAATAAAGCTTTGAATTTCCAACCATTTTTAATAGCACTTATACCCAAGTTCAGAACTGTAAACTAAATTTGCCTAATAGAATATGCCTACTCGTGCACTCATAATTAGAAATGTAACTTAAAAAAGGACAGGTTTCCCTATCATGTTTGGAGATTGCATTTTAAGTTTTGGCTCTTAGTCTCGGTAAAAAATGTGAATTAAATGTCATACGGTGGTTTGTTTAAACTGTTGCTGGGGTTATATTGTATTTGAAGTGGTAGTGTCCACTTTAAACGTTGAGCAGGATTAGTATAATAGTATGGGGGGGGGGGAGCCTATTGTCCAAGTTTTTGTGTGTGATTGAAATGCATTAATATGCAGTTAGTTATAGAATGCTTTCTTGCATGGCAAGAAGGTCCTAACAAGTGTATAGGAAATCAGTAAAGACAGGATGGAAATCATTAAATTCCTTAGGAATTAAGCCAGAAATAATATAGTACAAATACACCCATTCTAGTTTATGAAAGACTAGTTTATATTCTTATTCTAATGCTTTCTTTATAATTTCAGAGATTTTGGAACATGAAAAACATTAGAACCTTATGTGTCTGGTGGTCTAGGTTAATTGTGGAGACAGCAATGTGAGTTTTGGTTGAGGAGATGGGGTGCATAACATGCTCAGATATGCCATGCCTAAATTGTTACCCTTATAACCACCCATGCATCAACACTAAGTATGAAACCTTTACCAGAAGGTTAACAATGTCCTTTTACACAGTTTTGTAGAGTATAATGGGGTAAAAGTTGGAAAAAGAGGCTATTGAGAGCAATTTTCCTGTGTTTCTAGGCAGTGCAAGGAGGGGGGGGGGGTTGATTAACAATTCTTGAACGTTTGCTAAATCCCACATCTGTGTTATAGTACAATTCTGGCATACCACCTCACTTTCAATATTAGCTGTCCTTAATATTAGGGAGCATAAGCTGTCTTAGTTTCAAAAATATGACTTTTAAGTTTATACCTTGAGAATATGTTGTCTTTCTTTTCCAGTAGCATGACGCTAGTTTGTTTTGAGTTAGTGTAATAGAGTTGTGCAATATTTTACATAAAGTACCAGTAGAAATTATCTAAAATTTTGCCAATGAAAGATGCAGTAAGGTATTTCCACTTTTATTTATCTGAATGGCTTGAGAATTGTTATTTTAAATTGATGTGCATTCAGTACTGATTACTGTATATCTAATGAAGAATGGTTTGGCTTAGTTTACTTTCAGGATTTTTACTGGCTTGAGTCAATTAACAGTTGTCTAACCTTTTTTTACAACTATTGAACAATGTGTAAATTTTTGCTGTTGATTAAATAGTACATGAAATAGGCTTAAACGTAAGCACATTTGTATGCAGATGCCTAGCAGTCACAACCCCATTTCTAGGATAAAGTTATTCCTACTCTGAACCAATATGAGCATATTCTTTTTATAGCTACTAACATTAAAGCTGGTACACTTGTCCTTGCCCATTTAGATAGGCAAGATGACAATGTATGAACATAATTGTTGAGAGAATGGTTTTGAGGAAAGGAGGGGGCTCTTCATGCTGTGAAAGCTAAAAGAGACTGCTCATTTTAATTTGAAAGTGTGATTTGTGAAGGCTCATAAGGCCTAACAGCTTGCTCACCTTCCATGGGCTCTCTAAAGTACCAGAAGTGGGGAAAAAATGTCATGTTCAAATACTTGTCTATTTAGTCTGGGTTTGTCATTACCGCTGAAATCTCTCTCATTTGGCGTCACTTGTAGAGGTTTAAAAATCATCTTTTAGGTTCATGTAATTGTTGGATAACTTCTAATGCTTATGAGGGTACAGGAGCTTAATTAATGTAACATTAACAACTTTTTACAGAGCAGTAAACTTTGCTATACTACAGTAAATGTAATAGATTATGACAACTATTTTCTTGGCAAATTTAACCGATAGAAAAGCAGTGCGTGCATCACGAGTGTTGGATACAATGGTAACAAACTGTGTGGGGTTCAAGTCTGCAATATCCTGGGCCAAGTCCAGACAACCTTGTATAATGTTTACCTTTTAGTGTTTACTTGAGAAAAGGGGAAGGGTCTATTCCTGGTAATCTTGCAAGTTACACCTTAAGATACAAATGCTTTTAGAAATGTACATTTTCCAGATACAGCAATGTTCACTGTTTCTGCATTTTTGTCCGTCTTGGTAATTCTTCCTTTCTTTTATGTCATAGAATGAAACTCAGGAAATCTCTCCCAAAAATACTTATACTCCTCAGT